CCCCCCCCCGCAAAATTAATGTTCTTCTCACCAAGCATCTGACAACTGTGATTCATAAAAAACTGATCTAATCAGAATTTATATTTACTGATAGCTCCTTGCTGAATACCAAAACCAGCACGAAATTAAAGCATGACTTAAGTTTATCCATAACTTTTAAAATCAGCTATCAGTGTTCTTGTCTGTGAAGTGCATGTTCTTAAAATTGTCTCTTAACTACTGCTTACCTGTTTCAAAAGAATCAGTCTCTGATTGGATTTCCATAAGGACTTTTGTGTTGAACTAACGGATCATTCTAATATTGCTGCTGTTAGAAGGTAATTCATTAGCTGGAAGCAATCATAGCAGTGAAATTTAGAGAAATTTTTTTTTAAAAGCAAACTTTGCACAAGTGGCATAGAAAAATAAAAAGTCATTTGATGGCAAAGGATCCAAAAAACTTGGACTTCAAAAGCAGCAAGTTTACTATTTCTTCCTGGCTTTGGGCTCTTTTTTCCTTCCCATTTGTGGCTATTAGAATTCCTTCGTGATTTCAGCAGCTCTGTCTCTGCTCTGATGTGTTACTTTCTGTGATTTGCAGCTGGAGGGGGGTCTTCATGCAGCCCTGTTCTTGCGAGAAAGCATAAAGGTGATTATTTTCAAAAACAAATCTTTAATTGCATTCCTTTCAGATTTTTTTGGGGTGGTTTTTTTTTGTTTTTTTTTCCCTTCCCCCTCCCCACTTCATTGTCTCGCTGAACTTTGGTCTTCATTCACAATTGGCTTTGTGTTATCAGCTGAGATTAATCACTGTAAATCTTAAAAGAATTCTGATGCAATTTCTGATATTGCAATCAACATACTCTAAAATTATTCAAAGCAGTATATTTCTTATTTTTGCTGTAGTTCACTGGCAAAATTATGGTGATGAATATTGATGCAATTTTCACTTTTAAAGAGCACATCTAAAAATAATCTCTCTGGACAGGGCATTCTTCCTTTTGATGGTAATACTTAACCTTTAATGTAACTCACAAAACAGTTAACCTTTCTGGTTTTGTTTTTTTCTGGCCTATTTTTTTTCTTCTTCTTTCATTAATGCACGTGTATGTTTGCATGCTTTGATATGATGCTTTTTTATTTCTTTTTCTGTTCTTGATGATTACTGCTATTCATTTTGTGTCTTATTGTGTATATTTTCATTTCTTTCCTCAATAGGTAATTCGTTTAGCAGGATTTTAAATAATACAATTTGCTCTGAAGTATTTTTTTCCCAGTTTGTGCATGAAAGTACTTCATATCTAGTTATACGTTTACACTTTGCTTAAAACCAGTCATATCAGTACTAGAATCACTCTAGATACAGCTATATAAAAGTTTCATCGCTTGGTTTAGGTGAGCAAAATGCTGCTACTGCAGTGGAACTATGCATGAGTGTAGTGCAGTCAGTGCAAGCATAGTAAGCAGCAAAATGTGCAATACTGAAAAGGAAAATTTCAAGGAAAAATAGTTTAAGACTAAATAAGATTATACAAACTTTAAGGACCGTTATAGCAACTAGTTTACACTCCTTCCAAATTTGTTCTCCCATTTTTGTGTGCACGCAATCTCATAATACTTAAAGAATATACCTGTATGCTTTAAGAATATACCTAAATGTGAAATAGTGGGTAGACCTGAATGAAATAGTGCTTACGGATGCAGTGATAATTTCTAGTTTAGAAAAAATAGAGTGAAAGAAAGGGTTTTCTGAAAGTAGATATTTCTGCAGCATCCCAAGGTGAGACAGAATCAGAATAACAATGCATAACACTTTTAAATGAAAAATAGTAAATCATCATTTTGATACTTTGAATTGTTAGTAGTCTTCAGTGTAACTTTGAAGTCTTAACAATAGTGTAAATTCAATTAAAGTACTTGTTAAAACACTAACCTTTCCTTCACTCAGTGGGAAAACACGTATGAGTCATCAGCTTCTATCCTCTTTCAAGAACGTGGTATGAAGATTTTGTGGTCTAAAAAAATGGCGTAAACTAATTTGAAGAAATCTGTTCACGATTTTGTGTTTTGTACAGGTTTAATTTCAAATTGTGAATTGTTCATTTCCTGCTGCACTCCATTGTAGAAAGGAGGGAAAAATCAAGCCTATTCCCAGTTCCTATCTGAAGTCATTTTGTAGTCTACTACTATATGGAGTAGTAGGCTTCTGCTGTTGGCCATGGGTGAAACTTTTCTAGCCGTAATACTCCTTTGTGTGTAGGGGTGTAAAGTGAGGCTCATCTACAGAAATCTGTGACCCTAATCTCAGAACTCAGATATTCCATGTCTTTTCAATCTTACTGCTTCAGACCAGCTTTAGTTTTGAGCAGCTGGCCTATGTTGGTTTTTTTATGTTTCAGCTTCAGAAAATTATTTGCAAAAAAGGCTGAAAACTCATTTTGAAATGAAAGCCTATGTTGTGCATCTTAACTGAATTTTTTTCCAAATAGTGGAAAAGTATCCTGCAGCTTGTTTTATATACTCATTTAAACATACAAAGCCTAATATGTCTAATAAGTGTTTTTCAGTGTCCTTCCTCTTTCACTTTTAAAGGTGATCAACTGTGGAAAGCAGAAGAATATCCTGGTTTGTCTCAGTGAAATGGATGTAGATGTGAGAAAGAATAGAGAAGAATATACTATCTTTCATGCATTTTGTTGGGAACTCTTAGCAGGATTTTACTCAATCTTTCGTAGGAGTGTGTAGTTCTCAATTACTGTTGTTTTACATAGAACGTACATGGAAATGTCATGGTTAATTTTCTGCCTTACTTACAGGTTTGAATAGCATAAAATGTACTTTTCGGAGGAAGACAATTCTACTAATAGTGTTACTGCTATGTATGCAAGCAGTTGTGATAGAGAAATTAATACAAAAATCTGTTAATGCTTTTTTACCCCCGGTAACTTAAATGAGATGCAGAAGAATTTGTCTAGAGTTATCAAAACATTGGTATCTTGCACAGTGAATCCTGGACTACCAGTGAAGCTTATTCTAAATGACAAAACAAGCTTATCTCAAAGCAGTTATCATGAATCCCTCTGTCTCAGCAAGTGACTTGCAAGATCCAGAAGGATGGGCTCAGTAGCTCCCTCTGCACTCTGTATCCTGTCCCATTTACAGACTTTTCAGTCCAGTTATTTCCTTGGTTTGCTCCCAGGCAGTGTGCATCTGCAGGTATCTTTCTCTTTCCACTGCCTCTATTTAAAATAGACATTACTCTGCGAGTAAGAGAACTCTATTATGATTGTGTTAGGTTATAAGTGGTTCTCATTTTTCCTATGGCAAAAGCCCCTCTGAAGATTTTTGCCTTACTAGTCCCTGGATCTTAATGGCTTTTGTCTATGGTTCATCACCCTGTCCCACTTACGTTGTCTTGTGCTTCTAGTCAGTGCTGCTCTTCCCCTTAGACATTTTCCATTCTATTATCATGGAGTTCCAAGCCCCAAACTGCAAGTAGCCTTTGATAATTTTCATAGCCTTAAGGAGGGAGAGGTTATTTATTCTATTACTTATGGTGCTTTAATGTCCTTCTGAGTTGAGGGCAGACATCCAGATGCCAGGTATCCAGTCCTTAGTAATAGGACATACTTTAAATTAGTGGATCTTAAACATAGTCCACAAACATAAACTAGAATGAATAAGGTCATAGGTAGTTTCCTGAATGGTTACACTGTTAAATAAAATACTTAATTGTGCATTTCCTTGTCACTGCTGTATGTTTCTCTCCTGATCAGATAGTGAGAGACTGGATATTCACTTTCTTCATTCCTTTCTCTTTTCCATCTGTTGCCTGTCATAGCTTTGAAAAATGCTTTGGATAAACTTTTTAAAAATAGATTTCACATCTAATTGACTTCAACTGTTCAGCATTTCAAGTTGACTGTAACTTTGGAAAACTGTAAAGGTTTTTCTTACATCACTTCTCAGGTAAAATACTTCTTGGTGAAGAAGAAGGTTTGGAAGATGATTCTGAAACCCGATCAGATGTCAGCGCTGCATCGTTTGCAGGTAGCTGGCTTTCCCTTTAGCAGTGCAATCAACCTGTGTTACTGTACATTACAAATCCATTCTTTTACTGCTCTATGTAAAATATATAAGTGATGTGTTGTGGTGACTAGGAAGTGGATGGGCACTCAAAAGACAGCTAACAAAACTGAAACCATTAATACTCATGAGTATAAAAATTATGAACCTATTGAAGTTGACTGCTTTTTTTTTTTTTTTTAAATGGATAGACTGTCATATTGAGCTACTGGTATAGATGAATGGCATCTTACAGATGCTTATTTCCTACTTGTAGTTTAACTGTTTAGTTATACACTTTCCTTAGCCTAGTTTAATATGTGGCTTAGTATGTGGTGACCATATCAAGAGTGAAACACAAGTTTAAACACTTGATTGATTCATAAATGCCTGTGTTTTGCAGCATCTATGAAGGGCGAGATAACAAGTGAACTAGCTTCTTCATCAGGTGTATCGACAGCTGGGTCAGTAGGGAGTTCAGCTGCTGATTCTACTGGACATGATATCATTACTGAGCAGCCACGTTCTCAACATACGTTGCAGTCAGACTCTGTAGACCTGACAAGCTGTGATTTGACAAGTACAGCTACTGAAGGGGAAGAAGATGATGTGCTTAGTCGAAGCTCCAGCCAGATCAGTGCTGTGCAGTCAGATCCCACTATGGACTTGAATGATGGTACACAGGCTTCCTCACCAATTAGTGATAGCTCTCAGACTACTACAGAAGGTCCAGACTCTGCTGTAACACCTTCGGACAGTTCTGAAATTGTAAGTGTGCAATGGGCAGAGGGGGGATCCCCTTCTACTGAGGGGCCCGACATATCTCAGAGCTCTTCCATGGGGAGCCCAGACTTGGATACATCTACTTACTCGTCTTCTACTTTTCCATCCTCAGCTAGTAACAATGGAAAGGTCAGCAGCTCACACCTCTATTGGAGAGCTTGACCTCCTTTTAACACTTCCACTTCAGCAGTAATTAAAAACTACAAAGCTGTAATCAGTGCGTTCACTGGGTAGATCATATGAAGGCATTAACAGATTGTCACTCACTGGAAAAATGTCAGTATCAAAGACTTGACGTAAATATACTCTCTTAGTAGCATATCATTCATTTTGTATAGTATTTTAATTGTTTTGATGCAGGAGGAGTAATGGAAGTGATAAAGGGTGAACAGTCTATTTGAAACGATAGAGGAATACTTCTGAAACCTAATGCTTTACATTGTTTTCTGCCACTGCTTTTTCACTTGGCAACACAACTCATTTTTTTCTTTTTTATTCCATCTTAAGGATTTTTCCTATTCTGAGCAAATACTGTGTGATTTACTAATGTAGTAGTTACATATCTAACAAACATGTGAAACGTGCATACAATATAGCTATTTTAAGAAATTTGTCTCTCTTAGGCAAGTGTATTGTGAGGTTGTAATAAAAACAACAAAAATACAATTACTGGTAGCAAGAGCAGAAAACACAAAAAGGGGAAAACTTAGAATTTCCTAAGTTCTTTTTTTCAGACATTATCAAACTTTTAACTTAGGTCTGCTGATAGTAACTTTGGAAGAGTAATAGTTTCTTACCACTACAAAAAATGGTAAATTTACAATTATGATAAGCAAATACTCCTGCAAGTGTGAGGATTCAAGAACCAAAGGAGTGATGATAATTGCATTGTCTCTGAATTAAATGTAGGCAGTACAGAACCCAAAGTGAACAGGTGTTTATTGACAAGTTGCATTTATTGACAAGATGCATTTCTTGCAAGTTCTTGTCAGACCGTTGCATATGTCAGTTTGCTTACAGTTTACAAGCAGTAATTACAAATGCAATTATTTTTTCCTAACTGACAGGCTAAGTGGTTGTCCCACTTACCCACACACAGGCTTTTTAATGAACAATTTCCAGCTGCTTATAAAATCAGGGAGTAACTGAAGAAGTATCTTGTGTCTTCTGATAAACTTACAATGAAATGTTTTTTTACTTTTACTGTTTTTTATTAACACTATCAATTTTTTTGTCTTTTATGGTTATTTTTCCATATACCTACTGGCTATATATTGCATTGGTACCAAGGATCAAACTCTCTTCTAGAAGTGTCCATTTTAGTAGTCTCTGGTTTAGAGTGAAGGAATTAAAATATGTTCAAACATATTTGTCCTTTTTTGTCCTACACAGTGTGTTCTCAGTTTGACTTTACATATCCAGGACAAGTGAGGTTATGGGAGAGTTTGACAGCAAGGGAAAAGTTCAATTTGTGATAGTAGAAGTGTTGGTTGTGATTTGTAACTGGTGAGATAGAGGGACAGTTGTGTTTGGAATAAGGGAGCAAGGAGGGCTGAACGGGAGGCAATGCACCAAGTGTTCGACTTCCTTACTGTTAGTGTCTGAGTTCATGGCTCAAGTGGGGGACTGTCAGATGTAACTATGGCCTCTAATAGCCCAAATGCTGGAGGAGGAGGGGAACTGCTTTGGGGCTGCAAGCAGCTGTACACTAATATTTATCAGGGTCATATTTGCTTTCAAATTATTTGTAGATTACTAACACTGCATGTTTGAGATTTAATGCTGTGTGCTAAGCTAAGTTACTTTAAGTCCTTTCCTTGCACTGTGTAGGTTTTGGAGGGTGCTGAAGGACAGTATTCTGGAATGCAAATTGGGCAGCTGCAGGATGAGGAAGATGAGGCTGCAAATGTTCTCCAAGATGATTCGTCGGAGTCTTTCAGAAATTCTTCTATTGGTATGTTGGTAAATGGGGGGGCGGGAAACAACTGGTGACACCTTTAAGGCAGGTGTTACAGGTGCATCTGCTGTCTAACTTCCAAGGGACTGAAGACTCACGTAATGGATATGAAAAACAAATAACTAGATTGAAATGTAAAATAAGGAATATATTTCAACACTTCTAATGAATCACTTGTTTTGATCACTGCTAATTTATTTTTCATGTTTGTATAATTAAGTTCAATTAAAGTGCTTTTAATTTGCATATGAAATAGTATTTAATGAATTGCCTTTTTCTAAAGCTCTTCAGCAGCCTCACCTGTTGAAAACCACAAGTCATAGTAGGCAGCCTTCTGATAGCAGTGTGGATAGATTTACATCAAAAGAAGATGCAGCAGATCCTGCTGATCATGAAAATAAGGTGAGAAATAGCCACAGTGGTCTGGTTTAAAGTTTAAAACAACTAAGTTTAAAAAAAAAAAAAAAGTTATGGTCATGTAAATTAGTGGTAAATGTGGGTATCCTCTGTATGTGGTGTGCTTCATTATAGGTCAAAATAACTGAGGTTGAATAGTAAATGTGAGTTAAAGCTTGAATTTCATTTAACATAAGGTGAATACACAAGTGTTGGTATCTTGAATGCAATCACCAGCAAAACCATAACAGAACACAAACTGCTGAGAACACAAACCCCTTTTGTCTATGTATTAGTAGGGTACGCTGGTACTTTATTACCCAAAATATCTTTGTGCTGGTTGCTAGCCGTGTAGGTGACTTTATGATTTCCTCAGCAGTTATTATGTCTTACTCTGAGTCTCACTTTTGGCAGAGAGGCTCATGCCATTCTAACCACAGGTTACTGATTTCCTCTTACAGCTTTTTGACTTTAGCTTTGGACCTTGTTCTCAGCTGGAGCAAAAGGAGTTTGGTTTGTGGTAGGCAGAGTTAGATCAGCTTGGGCTACTGGGCAACTCTAAATGTGAAACTACAGAAGGTTGTCAGCCTTCTTTGGAAACAACTTAGGAATTACTTGCTTCTCATACAAAGTTTCCAAAGATCATTGTTTGGTGACAAAAAGTGGCTTGACTCCTTCAGATGCAAACAGCAAGTCTGGGTAGTTCAGAAAATCTACGGAATGATTGTTGTTTCTGTGATAAAATTAAACCAATTCTGATACTGGATATAAACTTCCTGAATGCGTTACATTTTAAGGCCTTTTTTGGAATATGTATTAATTTTTGTATTACAACCTTTATACATTTGGGGATGTGCAGTATTTCTAAATCTTGTTGTGCTTAATATTTTATTTGAATTGAAGATTAATTTTTATCTATATAAAAATTGTGATTTGCTTTCAATAGCCCTCCAGGGTAAAGGGAGACATAGGTCACTATACTGATGGAAATTCTGCTCCTTTAGTGCACTGCGTTAGACTTCTGTCAGCCTCTTTTCTACTTACTGGGGAGAAAGGAGGTAAGCTTCTATTCAAGACTCATTGATTCATTGTGTCTTTCATTGTACAAAGTTGGAAATGTGATCAGTTTACTCTGGTTTTTAATCTCACTTTATTGGAGATTGCAGGGGTGGGGGTTCAGGTGACAGTCCTGATTTAAATGATCACACCAGAGTACAGAAAAACCTAAAAACACCTAAAAATTTTTGCCATTTTACATGAATCCCATTTTGAACCATTGGGCATCTAAAGAAGCGTTACTAACTTAATCCATAAGTCCAATACTTAATTACATTTACAACTTGTAAATTCTTATGAGACTTAACGTGTGGGGCCATGATGGTTTATAGATTGTGTGAAGCTGCGAAGACAAGCTAATATCAGTATTTCTTTTCGTCAGTGTTGGGTGCCCAGTTTGTCCACTATAAAAGTATCAATACCTCAGTAAGGAAACAATTTCCTATGTTGCAGTCCATTCTGTGGAAACTCCTAAAAACAAGTTCAGAAGAATATAGTTCTTTAAAGTATTTGTCTTAATACTTTGATTTTGTTTACAATGCCTAATTTTTTTTTAATTAAAACAAGATTAAAAGTATCTTTTTTTAGCTTTATCACTTAGTTGTGTTTGAATTCAGTGTTAATTTTTTTGAACGTACTTCAGGTAGAGGAAGTGCTGTTGTACCCATTTGTGTTTTGTTATTAATTAACTTAAAAACAATTCAGGAAGCTTTTAAATATCCCCTCCCCCTTTTCTTCTCCCTAGCTTTAGTTCCTGATAGAGATGTGAGAGTCAGTGTAAAAGCCCTGGCAGTAAGTTGTGTTGGAGCAGCTGTTGCGCTTCACCCCGAGTCTTTCTTCAGCAAACTGTATAAAACACCCCTTGAAGCAATGGGACAAGAGTATGGTATGTTGCAGTTCGCATATTCCATTTTAATAGTGTGTTTGGGTTTTCAAATAAGTGAGGCAGCATCTATACTGAAAACTCTAAATCCAATTTAGTATTTGCAAACAAATATTGCACCAATTGGAATGAACATGCTGTCTGCGCTAGTAGTGCATATGGTGAGGGTTTTTTTTTTTGTAGTAAGAGTTAAGTTTCAGTGAACGAACTTGTACAGCTTCTGACAAGTTGAAGCTGTTTTAGTACACCTGCTATATAGAAGTGGTTTGTTTATCTTATAAATGGTTTCTTCTAATTTATTTCAGGCTGTCTTATAGATCGTTTCTAAGCCATTAGGTTCATTTTTATGAATGCTACAGTATGATCAGCAGGGACCTGGAGTATTCAGCTGGTTTGATACTGATAGTGGCAAAGGTGGAGTGTTGACCAAAACTCTTCTTAAATTTCCCCAGAGCATTTTGTGTACAATTGAAACAAATCAGTAGTGTCTTTATATATGATCATTGTTCTGGGTGGTGTGAATGATCTGTAGATTACATGCAAGGGATCTCTGAAAGGTAGAGCGAAGGCGGGCGTGTTGTGAATATGCTGACGTTGATTGTACAATAATCGGTACCTCCACTGAAACATTTTGTGGGATCAGTTAAGTCTAAGACTAGTATTTTTAAAATAAAGTAGTTGTAACTTATTTTCTTAGAGGAGCAGTATGTATCAGATATTCTGAACTACATTGACCATGGAGATCCCCAGATTAGAGGAGCTACTGCCATTCTGTGTGGAACAATTGTCAACTCCATTCTAATTAAATCCCGCTTTGATGTGGAAAAATGGCTAATAAATGTCAGAAGCTTAACAGGTAACAATTTATTTTAACGGTGTCCTTTTTTTTTTAATGTAATCAAAATTTTCTTTTGTTTCATTGCTCTAAATTCTTTTTTTGTTAGGAAATCTCTTTTCCTTGGTAGACTGCATACCTCTGTTACAGAAAACGCTGAAAGATGAGTCCTCTGTTACATGCAAACTGGCTTGTACAGCTGTGAGGGTAAGCAGAAGTAGTAATTGGTTTGCACCACCACAGATAACATGGGTGTTATTCGCTGACTAGGATTCTGCTATGCTCCAGTGTATAAACATGGAGCAAAAAATGACTTCTTTCCTAAGAACTTTATTGTAGAAAACATGGATTCAGGCACAGAAATGGAGGAACAAACAGCTGGGAAATAATTATGTTGGTTAGATCGCGTAGCAGTATAATCTAATCATGATGTTTCCAGTCATAAATGTACGGGTATGAGCTGTAATGTTACATTAACCAACAATAGGATGGGTGCATTAGATAAAAAGGATATCTAGCCTAAACAGGGAAGTGTGAACGTGTAACACCTGGTTGTAGCCTGTATTTGGAGAGCAAAAATTAAATGTGAGAAATGACAAGTAAAATAGTGATTATTTTCTGAAATAATAGTTTTTAAAAGTGACGAAAGTCTCAGGAAAGTAAGTGTTTTAAATTGGGTGAAAGATCCATCAAGCAACTGTTAAAATAGAGGTGATAGCTGAATTTGTGAGTGGAACTTATAGCATGTAAATTTTATTTCTGTAGTAAAATCTGTGGAAGGTGTTCTGTGAAAAAGCAGAGGGGTGAAGGAGTGAGCTTTTTCCTTGAGGAATTTTCCAAAAAAGTAGAACAACAAGGACAAATTGGAGGCCAAGGGAAATTAATTCATCGGGGAGAGGCACAGGGTGGCTGACTGTATTGCAGCTTATGGGTCAGTGAAGCAAAGCGTAGCTTTTAGTAAAATGAGAATACTTAATGTATCGAAAGTATGATTTCATGTGCTAAGAGGAGGGGTCTGTGATGCAGCTGAGGGAAGGAAATCCAGTTAGTTAAATGATGCTATCTTTTTAACCTTCTGTTCCGTGATCTTACTATTTGTATATAGTGGTTTCATGTATGTTTACACTTATGATTATGGCTTTTTAGAAGACTTCACTAGAATTGTTCAGTTCAAGCAACTTACACTAGTCAATTTTGACTTTTTCTTTCTCTCAGTGTATAATGTAGCCTGACTTCATACCTTTCGGCAGAAATCTTCAAAAGCATTTTGGGTTGTTAATCCCCGAAAAAGAAAGCACATTTTTGTGTGGTTAAATAAGACATAGAAGTGTAGAGTTCTAAAACTTTTTCCAAAGATCACACATTCTGTGTATAGTTGAACAGCCATTAAAATAAGGAGGTATGACTTTTTGAAAAACTTCTGGAAATCAAACCGGGTGACTAAAAATACCCTGTGGAAATTAGGAGAGACTGTTTTTGAACAGATAATATAGTACTTGTGGTGTTTAAGCCCTGTGAGTTTTAGACCTTACTCTTTGGAGGATTATCATCTGATCTGAGGCTTGTGTTCCTCTCCAGAGTTTAAATTCAGCAGCAGGTTTTAGCAGTTCACATGGAGCTAGTGTCCTACCCTTGCAAAGTACCTAGCTCTGGTACTTTCTTCTAGCTCGTAGGCAATAACTTTTTTTAGTATTCCAAATAAAACAGATTTTTATGATCACTTACATACTTTGGATTCAGAGAACCTCTTCTGTAATATAACAAAGTTGTTTTTTCTTTTCAGCATTGCATCATGAGCTTATGTAGTAGCAGTTACAGTGAACTAGGTTTACAATTAATTGTTGACCTCCTTACACTGAAGAATAGCTCATATTGGCTAGTAAGGACGGAACTTCTTGAAACACTTGCAGAGGTAGATTTTCGGTAAGTGTTTGTATTTTTCCATGGGTATTGTAGCTGCAGTGCAAAGATGCTGTGTATAGGAAACTGGAACCAAAATGGAGCAGTTTCTTCTGAAACATTAACAAGTTTCATAAAACTAATTCAGACTAATCATTCATATAAGGACTGTGTGAATTCCTTTGTCAAGTTACCATTGACTTCACTACCAAGCCCAATCCTAGTAACACTGTATAGGAGTTTCTAGTTCAGTGATCTGTTTTATCAAGTCTTCTGTAAATCTGTGATCAGAGAGAGACCATATAATCTGGAAACTAACTTGGATTTCATGTCGAGTTCTCTGTGTTTTTTTTAAAGAAAAAGTCCCTGACTTGTTCTCCGTTGTTGTCAGCTCTCTTCTGTTGCTCTGTTTCTGTTATACTGAAATGAATATGACTTTACTTCCTTTTCTTGCATTCCCTCATTCTCTGCAGGTTCTTCCAAGCTGAAAGACAAAATTCTTCAAGTTATCCTTAGTCATACAAAATTGGACTCTTTCTGAACAGTGATATTTGGAATGTGTTAACCATCTTTTCAAAACAGTCTGATTTTTACGTGCATGGGGAAAAAAATACAATTACAATCGCAATGTGTAAATAATGTTTTTTAACTAAAGAAAAGTAATTCTTGTATTACACTAGCCAGATAGTAGTTTAGCAAATAGCTTACCTCTTCTGAAGTGTGTTTACTTCTTACATTTTCCCTGCAGTGGTGGTTTTAAGAAATAAAAAAACAAAAAGAGCACTGAAGGGAGAAATAACCTTTAATTAGTTAACTAATGTACTCTAAATTCTATTTTTCCATAGGCTAGTCAACTTCTTGGAAGGGAAAACTGAGAGCTTGCACAGAGGTGTTCATCATTATACTGGTGTAAGTAAATTATTCAATCAGTATATTGTGTTTCTGGATTAAGATACCAGTGTAATTTCAGCACTTCATGTTTAAATTCTATCAATGCTGATAGTTGTTGTAGGTATGTTTTGTATAAATAAGCTCACATTCTAAGACTTGTTACAATTGGAAAGATACTTCACTACGGAGATTCAAATATCTTAGTGTTCTCTGGTGTGCGTGGGGGGGATTTTGTTGTGGTTTTTTTAAACTTTAAAAAATTTTTGGCATTTATGTATTTAAATAGTGTATTTGGCAATGTTAAGGTCAAGACTGTCTTACAGACTTGTATGGCATGAAATCTCACTTATTAACTATCTTCTTAACAATCTGATCAAATGATCAATGAACCTTACTGTGCTAACTTGTTTTCTAGCTACTGAAACTTCAGGAGAGAGTGCTTAATAATGTTGTAATATGTCTACTTGGAGATGAAGATCCAAGAGTGAGACATGTAGCTGCAGCTTCATTAACGAGGTATATATGTTTGTTTTATCTTTTAAAAAAGAAAAGGAGTTTAGAAAGATATTGACATATAGTACTGTGTACCTATAATTAAAATAATCCCTTAGTGGGTTTTTTATATTTTTGTTTAAATGAGGGGTGGGAGACAAATGCAGCTTTATGGGACCTGGAGCGTGCATCATTCTGAATCATCAGGCAGTTGTGCTTTGCTTTTTACTAGCATTACAATTACATTTAACTGTATTACATTCTGAGGGTCACTTTCAGTTTCAACTTCCTCAAGTTTAGTTTTCTGCATGCTGAAGTAATTTGTTCAGTATCCTGACAGTAGTTGATGGACTTAAAATGTTGCAGTTCTACCAAGTTGTCCTAACTCCCAAACGTGGTAGTTTCCACATGGTTATAAGTAGTGTATCTTAAAACTTTCATGCTCACTGATTACAGTAAAGCAGCTAATCTTGTTTAAAAAGCAGCTGTTTTCTGTAACCTACTACAGTTACAATTGCTGTCCAGATAAACGCACCAAACAATAAGGATTAGTTGGTAGTTTATTTATTAGAATTCAAGGACTTAAGTTTTGTGTCTAAAGAAGTTGGGAGTATCTAATACTGACTTCCTGATATATTTTATTGTCAGAGGAGTCTCTTTTCTAGTTTTTCAGATTGTTAATTGCTGTCCATTCCTAATAACAAATAAAGGACAATGAAACCTTAAAAATTCTGCCACTTAAAAGCACTTGTATTGCAGAAACAGCTTAGCAGAGAAATCGTTACCTGTTGCATCATAGTTAGTATTTGTTACTTTTATTCAGGGACTTGATTTTGAAATTGATTTATTTTGTTAACTGAGTGGCAGCGAGTTGGAGTTTTTCTATATCTTCATGTTGACTTAGTCACAGCATGTGTGTTAAGGTTGGAAAAGACTTAATTGCCCAAGAAATCTGCTACAAGCTTGCAGAAGCCCCGTGAAACATCCAGTATGGGCATTCATTGGAAGTACTGTCAGTGAACTTAGAAATAATGTGTACTGTAGTTTTTCACTGTCGTCTTAAGTTGAAAATCTTGTTGTTCAAGAAGACTGGATCTTACTGAATGTTTTAAGTTTTGCTGCATAGAAATCAGATGGTGAAAAATTGTCCTTTTCAGGTAGAAATTAGTTTACAGTTGACACAGATAAATTAGTTTACAGTTGACACAGGGGAAAATATTTGGGGAGATAGGGGAACACTGAGAGAGAAATACTCTCTAGCAAAGTGGTCGTTGTAGTGTGTATAGGTAGGTATCTCTGTAAAAGATTTCTTTTTTTTAACTCCCATCTGTCTAGAGCAGTTCCTTTGTTCTGATTTGAGCTCCTTAATTATTATGAAGAGCATTTGTATAAAGGTGAATTCAGCTTAACAATATGAGTTTTCTAATAGTTTTTATTTACAATTTGATATGTCTAATTAGGTATGCAGCTTTCTGAATTGTATATTAAATAATTCCTGAATAATACTTTTCCTTTTTGACAATTATCATTAAGGCTTGTTCCAAAGCTGTTTTATAACTGTGATCAAGGACAGGCTGATCCAGTTGTGGCAGTAGCAAGAGACCAAAGCAGTGTCTATCTGAAACTACTAATGCATGAAACACAGCCTCCATCTCACTTTGCGGTGAGCACTATCACCAGGTATGTTATGCGAATTGTCTTGCTTTAAAAGGAATGCGGACCCAAATTTCAATTGATAATGCCTAGAATCATATTTAAATCCTGCAAACCCATGTGCTTGTGAATTCTTTTTCCAATCTGTAGGAGCATCTGTGGTAGTTTTAGGCTTCACGGAAACAGACTCGTGTTTAAAGGATAAATTGGTGTGTGAGTTACTAGTGATGTGCTCGCACGTTGATCATAGGGGGTCATTGTTCTGTGATAAACTTCATCTTCTCTTCATTGTGAGGTTACCCTATTTGTCCATTAAATTCCACAAGTGCAGCTTTGCAAGCTAATCATATGTATACATTATTGTTCTTCAGGTATGTTGATCAGGATTTATAACTCTTCACATCCTGTTTAATGATTGTGGTTGCAGAAGTCTGTACTGCATTCTGATTTTGATAGTGTGATCTTGTTGCTGTATTTTTGCTACCAACTATATTTCCTAAACTCTTCTGTTTAAATATCTTGTCTTATAGACAGTATGAGTTGTATATATTTGTGGGAGCTCTTTGCTTCTATCAATTTGTCATACAAGTTTCTAATTATGTGCCTTTTCCATACATCATCTTGATCATGTCACTCAAGACTTATAAACTGTAGTATGGAAACAGTAGAACTTTGTGCACACTGTGTTATTTCAAGTACAAAATAGTGATTTTTCTACATCAATAATCTCTTCACAGCAATAATCCAAAGTTTGTAAACATGCGAAAATGTTAGATGGATTTGAGCAAAAGCAAAGACTAATGCGAAATTGGTGATGATTTCTAGAGCACCTAGTTAGGTATTGAGAGTTGATCAACTGTTTCTGTTGGCTAACAAAGAGATCTGATTTATAAACTAAATTGCTTTTGCAAGTACAGAGGTAAAAATATTAAAATATAATGAGGTGGTATTTAGAGTGTTCTCCGATTTTTTTTTTTTTTTTTTTTAAATTTTATTTTATAAGCAGCCTATAAAATATATAATGGTAATTTAAGCCATAATCATTTTTGATTGAGGTGTTTTATTTTTTTAAGTACATGTTTTAATGGTATAAATACTTTTATTTCAGAACATACAGAGGTTACAATATGCTGCAAAGTCCGACAGATGTCACTATGGAAAACAATCTCTCAAGGGTTATTGCAGCAATTTCCCATGCATTGACAATATCCACTACGAGAGCACTTACGGTGAGTTTTCTTAGTTGCTATAATGGCTGACTTTTTCTTTTCTCTTTTTTGCTTGCTTGCTTTGTTTTTAATTATTTCCTGGCTATATTGGTATCCGCAGCTTTGGTACTGTGGCAATAGCATTAGTAGTATATTTAATTCTCACTCTTAAGATACCTTGTTGTTGTTGCTAACTCTTCCAGTGATGAAACTGATTCAGTTCTTGGTGTTAACTCTTTCAGTTTGGCTGCTGTGAAGCTTTGTGTCTGCTCTCCACAACATTTCCAGTCTGCACCTGGAGCGTGGGATGGCACTGTGGGTATGTTCCCTCATCAGTTATTCAAGCTTCTGAAATTCATGTTTGTGAAACAAAAGTACACTTACTTAGGTATCAGAAGTCCTGGTTTAGATATATGCTGTAAAGCTTATCTTAGCAGTTATTTAAGAACTGTATACAGAAGAGAGTAACATCAGGTTGTCGTCATATTAAGTGTCAGCACTTTGTCATCTCTGGAACCACAGCGTATATCACAGGGATTGGCTGCAACTGCTATAATAGAAAGATACATATGGTCAGCATAGTAAGTGATAAATAAGTAATAGGAGAAAATTTTTCATGCTTTTGAAATAATGTTTATCTTCAGGATATTGTGTCTTGTATCTCTTTAAAATCTGAACATCATCATTTTCACCTTGATCTCATGTTTATGTTGAAAAACGGTGAAGGAAGCTGGTTCATAATTGCTTTTATAACTATAAAAGTGTCAGATGCATTTAAATTGTTCTCATTTGGCACACTGAATGGGAACAGCAAATGAGATCTGTAATACTTAACTAAGTGTTACGTAGTTAATATATGATAGCCCCAAAGTACTTACATTCTGAAGAAGTTCTTCAGAATGTAACTGTGCAGTTGGCAATTCCAAAGCTTTGATCTTGCCTCTGATTATCAATGTGCTGTGCCACGTGAGCTGTAAAACTAGCTACTGAAGATGTGCATGTGTAGAGCTGTTTGGTTTTTAAATAGATTTAACATCACTTGTGTTGATTTTTCTTCATTGCTGTTGTTGTGTCTCTACTCTTATTTTACTCTTCTGGTATCCTGAAACTCTGTTGGGAAATCTTATCTTATTTTAAAAACAAACCAAAAACCCAACAACAACAAAAAACCAATCCTCCCCCAGTTGCTTTTCTTGTCACATGCCCTTTCTTCGCTTGCCAGCCATAAGTGTGGTGTGCTCTGCATGTGCATTCTAAAAGATGTCTTTTGAGCTATAGATCCAGTTTTAACAAATGAAGTAGATTAGGCTGTGAGCAGTACTTAGCTGGAAAACAAAATGAATGTGGAGTTGCAACAATGTGTCTTCTGCTCTACCCAGCTTAAAAAATGCTGTTTTTAAGATGCATCTAATATTCATCAGGGATGCAATGACATAGCCTTTGCTCTTTCCTCTAATTCCTTCTTTACAAATTTTCGGCCCACGTTCATACTAATTTGGGTTGTAATTTTATTTGTGTGGAATGATATGAACATTTATCATTCTGGGTAATAACAATATAATAACATGTATAATAACATGAGAATTTTGCCAGAATTCTTTTCTGTCTTAAGTATTGTCGTTCTTAGGATTAAAAAGCTATTGGAACTGCTGCATTCCAACTCTGTACATTTCAATGTGGATTAACTTGTGGGTTTCTAACTGTGTGTAAAGTAAACAACACTTGCATTGAAAATACTTTTTTTTTGTTTTAAAAAAATGGAAGGCACTGTAATTATCTTTGTAGCTGTATTTGTAAAAATAATAACTATACTTAGTGTAAATTTTATTTTCTGAAATTACTCTAGTTGTATTAGACCAGAGCGATTACATTAGAAGATCCTTTTTTTTTTTTTTAATTAAAAAAATATCTTGGAAGAATCCCTTTATTTAGAGGTTGCATAAAGTCTTTTCCTGAAAGAAAGCCAGTAGTATTGTGCAGGTCTTACAGCTTTGAAATGATGTGTGTCATTGACACAGTATTCTGACAAATGTCTTTTGGTGATCTCTGCCTCCTCTTTTTGAAACTGGAGTTGTGTGGGGAAAATCTGATTTTAAAATTACTGTAAAGAAAAATATGGAATGCAGCAGCAAATTACAATCTTGGATAAAGTCCACCCATAAATCTACATGATTTGATGGATTGCAATTGTTTAATTAAATTCTTGTCACTTTAAAACAATGTGTTCTTACAATCCAACACTACAGCTTCTCTCTCCCATCCCGACTTTGCATACGCACAAGACTTTTAACTGGAGATAGTTCAGGACCATGCTGGTTAGCAATTAAATACAGAATTCTTCAGTTTATCAGTAGATGTCACTAGCAGCTTTGATATTTGCTATTTAAAAAAAAAAAAACAAAAAAAAAACGGTTCTTCAAGGATAGAAAGTATTGTCAGGTCTCTGCTGCAAACTTTTTTTAAGTCCTTCTTGAGTGTTAAATGTGCATTTCTGTAGTACTTTTTTTTTTCTGATTAGCAGTCTACTTGACTGTTAGTTTTCTTAAGACTTTAAACTTACCGAAAGGGGGGAAAAAGTCATGACATTCCAAAATTAAACTTCCAGTGTTTCCCAGCCAAGTCCTTCAGATGAAGCTCAGAAGGGCTGCACCATTGGAATGGCCGGCATGGTCCTGTCTCTCCTTTCATCAGCATGGTTCCCACTGGACCTCTCTGCGCATCAGGATGCTTTGATTTTGACTGGAAACTTGCTTGCAGGTAGGATGGAACAAGAAAAGTAGGATTGTCCTGATATTTTTACCATTAGCATCGGAAGGTCCGTATCTCACCCTATTCCGATTGCACGCAACAAAACACTTGCAAGATTGAGCAGAAGAAATAAAGAAGGAAATTCTTGCACCCAGGAGGTTTGAAGAGATACTGCCTCCAAGTTGCAAATTTCCTCTAGTTGCCAAAGGGAATGTGCAGCGTGCTTGGTACAGGCTGAGTACAAAGAACTAACACTTTCTGTTGTTGTTGTTTAAAACTATGCACCTACTGCTGGTTTTGAAAATACAAGCTCGCTTTTCCCTATTTGAATTTCTGTTCATATAGAGGTGATACGCTTCTAAAATTTTCTGATGCTTAATTCCAAGTTTTAATCTTCTTTTTCTTTAACTAATGTGATTCCTGTTGCAGCAAGTGCTCCCAAGTGCTTAAAGAATCCCTGGAGTGCTGAAGAAGATTCAAACCAAGGTGCTGCAAAGCAGGAGGAACCCTGGCCGGCTCTGGCAGATCGAACTCTTGTTACTTTAGTAGAACAGCTCTTTTCTCATCTGCTGAAGGTCATTAATATTTGTGCACATGTAATGGATGATGTTGCTCCTGGCCCAGCAGTAAAGGTATGTATTAAAAATAAAATCGTGTGACTTAAGTACTGTTGTGATACAGACCTCTTCAAGGCTCCACATTTTAGAGTTGATACAGTAACTATTTAATATCTTGATAATATGACTCCACTATGTGTAGGAAAGCAAGTAACATGACAAGAATATGCATATCGTTCTTCCATGTAACACGTTTTTGTTTAGTTCTGCAGTGTTTCTAATATTACTTTAAATTTTGAACCTTTTATTCCTGGTGACTTCACTTGAAACATTAATTCAGTGAGGAGTGTATATAGTAAATGAAGTATTGGATTGCATACTCTGGCAAACATCTGTTGACTTTTGGGTTGCTTGGCTAGCTATAATGCACTGAGCTCCTTTTGGGGCTTAAAATAACACTTCTATCTTTTGAATATCCTGCAAAATATTTTGACTTCTGAAACAGCTCATATGAGGTACTTCTGGGTTTGAGTTTTTGTTTTGTTTTGAGGCATCTACATTTTGGGACTGATTTAGTGACTGTAAGACAATGGTACAAGGATTAGTGATTTCTTCATATTTTAAAAGTGTGAAAATATTTTTTTGACACTTGTTTGTTTGGAATCAAAAGAAACTTTGAGCTCTAATTCCATCTCATTGGCTTATGGTGAAGTTGAGAAGGAAAGTAGGGAATATATTAAACTTCTTCCTTTTCACTCAGGAAACTTGTGTCCTGAACCCAAGAGTAGAGACATTTTAATTTAACTGACAGTCAAATAAAGGGGAGTTTAAACAAAGATGAATATGTTTGTATTTGTGTAGAAGAAGAAAAACTACTTGTGCATACAAAATTAATAACGCTTCTTTTAATTCTAGGCAGCGTTACCTTCTCTCACAAACCCACCTTCTCTTAGTCCAATTCGGAGGAAGGGGAAGGAGAGGGAGTCTGTCGAACAGACATCTGTGCCAATGAGCCCTAAAAAGGGTGGTGAAACGAGTCCAGGTAAGCACACTTACTGCTATTAACCCTCCCACCTACCATCCCCACCTAAGTATGGTTATGGCATAGAGAGAAGAAACAAAACTGAGTAACTTGTTTTCTGAAGTTTTAGTTCAAAAGGCTGGCAGACCTGCTGTCAGAAGTTCTTTTCAGTATGGTGTTGCAAGAAAGGCAGCTGTGGGTGGGGGCTTCCTTACTGTTTTGTTTTTTATTAAAATTAACTGTACTTTTCAGAAGCAAGGTACTTCTGAATCCTTTTCCTCACTGTTTTTTCTGAATCTACTCAGCTATTGACTAAAATTAAGAAGTAATTTTTGCATGTATCTTACTTAAAAGAAATTTGAAAGTTGCTTTGCAACTTTTGGCAGGAGTAGCTTACGTTGCTCTTGGAAACAAGATTCTGAACCTTGAAAACTTTTTTTCCCCTTAGTAATGAATGAAGGAAATGAGTGTTAATTCTGTTTTGTAAATTGTACTTGCGCTTCAATAAAAAGCCCTCTGGGTTAATTTCTCTTATCTTAGAGAGCTAGTTTCTTGGAATGCTAGTTCATTTTCTAGTTGTACAGCATGTGTTTTTGTAGTTTAAAATATGCATGCAGATAGAAAAATTCATGCTGTCTAATAATTCATATAGGGTAAATTATGTTGCGTATACATGTCATGAGCACCCTAGAAAAAGTATGTTGTTGTAATCTATGATATATTTTTAAGCTGCTAGGCAAACTGATGCTACTGGGCCTGTTCCAACAAGTAAATCATCTTCCGTAGGAAGCTTTTATCATCTTCCATCATATCTGAAGTTATACGATGTCTTGAAAGCAACCCATGCTAATTATAAGGTACTGCATGATACCGTTTGATTGAATTAGAATGTGGTTGGGCAATCACTTTGTGTTTCTTTTAAACATGGCTCTGCTTGTATTGAGGCTCACTTGTTTGCCTGTGTAAACAGTTTATCCACAAAAAAAAAAAAAATATCACAACCACCACCAATAAAAACAAAACCCGACCAACCAAAAAACACTGGTAGGCATGGTCACCCTATTGCTTGTTTCTCTGCTGGTACCAAATGACCCTTTGCTGGCTTGGCAATGCCGAATGGATCCCAATGTCTATTCTCTCTGCAGTTTATTCCAGGATGGGTAAGCTTTTTCCTCATTAGTTCAGGTAATAGAAGATGCATTTCCTAGGGGCTTGGTTTGGATCTGATTTGTACACTTCAGGGGGTGTATTCTTATTACACCTACTGTGTTTCTGAGAAATACATTACCCCTTCTCCATTACTTGTCAACATCGTAGGCCTTCTTGGATGCTCTAACTTCCTCAAGCTAGAAGATCCCTTTCTTAGTCAAAATGAAGTCCTGCCTTTCCAGCAATTCATAAGGGAGTCTAAGCTGTCAGTGGTGTTGTTTGAACTACGCTGAAATTTTAGGCAAAAGATCATTTTGTGTCAATACCCACTTCTTTCTGTAATTTTTATCTACTTGTCAAGTAATTGTTAAGAAAAAGTGTGGTTTTACTTTTTGGGACCAGGTTACTTTGGATCTCCAGAACAGTAATGAAAAGTTTGGATGTTTCTTACGGTCTGCCTTAGATGTTCTGTCTCAAATCTTGGAACTTGCTACTCTTCAAGACATTGGAAAGGTATAAGATTTGTGTGGTTTTTTTCTTTTGTAGTTAAGTTGTCCAATATCTGTGGTCCTTACTGGGAAAAAGCACGTAGCATTGATTTTAAAATTGGTACTGTTGAGAGAGACAGTAGTCCTAGAAGCATTGTGTAGCCACAGTGTTGGGTAAAGTGCTAAGGAGATTTTTGGGGTTAAATTACTGCTGTTGAAAACTGAAGGTTTTTTTTACTGGAGATTTTGCTTTCCAGCAAATAGTTCTCCTTCAGTCATTCTTACTATATTAATAATGTTTAAATATACTCATGTTAAATACATGAAATGTCAGAAGGCATGCTGCTCTCCTTCCTCTCCTGTGTCTTGATATTTTTTCGCCTTAACTGTGGTGTTAGGCATTGTGGTATTTTAAGACTAGGAGGCAGATCTTGCATTTTTATTTCTTTACATAATTCCATGATTTCCCTTAAATTAGTGTAGTTTTACTTAGTAAGAAAAACTTGCGCTATTGGCCAGTTTTCATAGTAATGCTTTATGTGATGAAGAAAAATGCAATTAGGTGCACTTGTTTTTCTGCTTTTCTAGTGTGTAGAAGAAATTTTGGGATACCTGAAATCATGTTTCAACAGAGAGCCAACAATTGCAACAGTTTGTGTACAGCAGGTAAGGAGGTAATTTTTTGTGTTACTGGAAGGTTAATCCTGATGTCCTGTGGTTATCAATTGGATGCTAAGACTGGTCGTTCTTTTAAGGGAAGTGGTGTGAAGAAACTGTAGCCCAGGTGGAGCAAACAGAGCATGTTTTCTTTAATTTTCATGACTTGTTCTGAAACTTGATACCATCTGAACAATATCGTTTCTTCTTGAACTGCTTCCAGTTCAAAGAACTATTTTAGCTAATGCTCAGAAAACAAGTTTGTTTCTTACCTTCCCAAATGTATTCTGTAGCCAGTTAACTACATCAAAAACCTGGAAAGCAAAGAACTGTCTTACTGATGGATTTCTTGCAGGCTGCCAGTTAAACATTTGGTTTCAAGTCATCAAAGCTTAATTTTGGTGGGAGGTGAGTTTTAGTAGACTATTTTGAGTTGTCACATGGAAATAGCTTCAGTTGCAAAAACAATCGTATCTTTTTGGGTGAGGTGTGGATTGGTTTTTTTTTTCCCAGCTATTTTTGTCATCTTGTATTTGACCACATGATCCACAGTTTGCACTTTGACCTTTCCTCTTAAGTCCTTTGGGAGGATGAGGAGTCAAGTTTTTTTTTCCTGAAATGTTAACTTTTTATTTCCTTCCAATTTTCTTCTCTAGTTGTTGAAAACATTGTTTGGGACAAATCTGGCTTCTCAGTACGATGGCTTGTCTTCAAACCCCAACAAAGCTCAAGGCAAAGCTCAACGCTTAGGTTCTTCCAATTTGAGACCTGGTCTCTATCATTATTGCTTCATGGCACCATACACACATTTTACACAGGCCCTTGCTGATGCTAGTCTAAGGAATATGGTTCAGGCTGAGCAGGAACACGATGCTTCAGGGTAACTTTGTTTCCTTATGATATAATGTTAACTTGAACTAGAATCTCTTTTTATTGTTTTTCATAAATGCAAGTATCATAGGGGAGCTAAGTAACTTGAAATTACAGTATTGTGTATTATTTATTTCTTGTAGACTTAAGCAGAGTAATTTGTCTGGTAGTGAGATCCTGAATGCAACACTGTATTGATTACCACTAATGTGTTTTCCAAATCAAAGCTAAATCATTAAAATTTATATCACTTAAGTTTTTTTAAAAGCATAGTAGTTTTAAATGCTTGTATTCAAAACTATTTCATTCGTTTGCTAATTTTAGCAAATAGTCCTAAAGGAAAGGCAGAAGGATGACTAAGCAAAGACCAGAAATTCTTTCTCTGGTTTGTTGCCCCCAAGTCCATGTGATCTGATCAAAGTGTACTGTAGGTTGTCTCTGTTGCCCTTTTGTTTTACTAAGGTTCTTGAAGCAGTCAAGTAGATAAAGAAAAGTTGGCATTGGTAAAACAATATGCATCTAAGGAGAGTATGTTTGTCCCTCCATTTTTTTAATGTGTATGGGTTTTTTTGGTTTTTTTGACAGATGGTTTGATGTGCTGCAAAAAGTTTCTACACAGCTGAAAACTAGCATTACCAGTGCAGCAAAACATCGTGCTGATAAGGTACTTGTATCTATGTACTCCTGAAAGAGCTGTACCTTAGATTTAAAACATTTTTCGTGCTCTTAAAACGTAATTTGGTTTTGAATCGGAGACCTGTTCAGATATTAGATTACTTTGAAATCTCTCTATTACAGAATGCTATTCACAATCACATTCGTTTATTTGAACCCCTTGTCATAAAAGCATTGAAACAATATACTACAACAACATCGGTACAGCTGCAGAGACAAGTTCTAGACTTGCTTGCTCAACTGGTTCAGCTACGAGTTAACTACTGTCTTCTGGATTCGGATCAGGTTGGTACACCACTGTTCTTGCAAATTTGTAATACAGGGATCTCACCAGCAGGGTTAATATTTACAGCAAAAATACTTGCAACAATCCATTCATTGTACTATAGGTGAAAACAAAGACTTAAAGGAGGGTGAGACTCAATTCCCCCCCAACAACAAAGAGCTTCAGATTTCTGGTTTTCTATTGCATATAAATTACTTTGTAAGCTCTGCAACAGCTATTTAAGAACTGTTCATCAGACTGACTTTAGGAATAAGATGATGTGGACAATACAATCAGTGTTGTTAAATAAAACTTCATTTACAAATAGAAACACCTTCTTTCTATATTGAGAGTATGGACTTCCATGTGACTGATAGTGGTGAGATCACGGTTGACAACCATTATTTGATTTTAATAGCGGGGGAAGCTAGTGGCAAATACAGTAGTCTGTGTGGTAGTCCATATAAGCAGTAAATTTGTAACAGAAAATAAAGTTTAAGTGTTTATTTCCTACAGTATTTTTGGGTTTATAAACTAGTATGAGTTGCAATATAACATAACTTTCCTATAAGTTTGTACACAGATAAATCTTTTCAATGCATGAATACTTTAGATTGTATCTTGGTTTAGAGCTAGATTTTTGGTTGATTTTTAACTTCTTGACTGTAGTGCCTCAAATAGTGTGTGTTACACGAGTGAGAAAGTTATACTTAAAAATATATAGACTATAGGTAAAACGTGGCATATATTTGTGCAAACTGTAATAAGCTCTAACATCACCAAGATTGTCAAGATCTTCTGTAATTAGAGAGAGAACACTTCATAACATATTAGAATGAACTGTAAGTAAAATGATTCTCAGTACCTGTCTTTTCCTTCTCTCCTTCTAAAACACGCACTTTTATAACCTGTCAAAATGATTTCAAATGGAAATTAATGTCTCTGTATCTGTTGTACACTTTATTCTCTCTTTAGGTGTTTATTGGATTTGTGCTAAAGCAGTTTGAATACATTGAAGTAGGACAGTTCAGGTATGAAATTAGCAAAGATCCTTTGAACAGTGCGGGTTTACAACTGTCTTATTCTGAAGCATGTAGTGATTAGTTTTTGCTGGTTATTTCTGCCTTATGAGAAAGGGAGAGTTAGATTCTGGGCAATGTGCTTGTTTATTCTCTGGCTCCAGTGGTAGCCCTTTCAGATGATACAGGTTCCATGTGGCTGAAGAAGTCAGGAAGTAGCGTGGAAAAAAAAAAAAAATTAAGCTATGCTGTGCTGTTTCTCCATTTGGAATTGTAAAACCATTCCTTTGGGACCCCCCCCACCCCACAAAGCTCTGCTTTTAGGAATCAGCACTTCATTGCTAGGATTCAGTTGCTGAAGGGAGAGCTATTTCTTCCTATTGTGGACTCAGTGTGAATCCATTTGTATTCTGATCACCTGGTACATTTTGTAATAGATCATAAGCAATGCAGTGGAATTTTCATTGTCAGCTATTTCTGGTTTTTCTCACACTTGAGTTTGTATGAAGAGATAAGTGGGTTTTTTGCTCTGTGGGTCTCCTACAGAAATACTCCAATGGGTGTTGTGCATTAGATACATGTTATAATATTAATAACTGTGTAATGGCCAAAGCTTGAAAGAAATCCCTTGGAAAAAACCCATAGTAAAGAACAGGGCACAAAAATTACAGAAATACTGTATGAAAGCAGAACAACATAGTCTTAAAAAAAAATCTTATTGTAAAAAGATTCATTTTTACTGAACAGTTATGCAATTCAAACTTGACACACTTAATTTTTTGTTTTCAGGGAGTCTGAAGCCATTATTCCTAATATCTTTTTTTTCCTGGTGTTGCTGTCTTATGAGCGGTATCATTCCAAACAGATAATCGGAATTCCTAAGATCATTCAGCTGTGTGATGGTATCATGGCCAGTGGGAGGAAAGCTGTTACACATGGTAATTAAAAAAAAAAAAAAAAAAAAAAAAAGAAAAGCAAAAAGGCACCAAAACTAATATTAGTAATAGTTCAGCAATAAAAACAGTATTGAATACTACGCTATAGAAAACTCTAATCATACTGATCGTTCCAGAAGACACTAGCTTTTAAATTTTTAATACATTAAATAAGTCTCACTGAATTCCTTCAGGAAATTTATTGCACCCTAATAACAGTGCTACCCCATATTCTGCATCGAACATAATAGCAATGAAGCTTTTATTTGAAACTTTATTAGGTAATAAGTTCACAACATAGCAGTACTTTAAAGGCTTTGATTTTAATTTTTAGTCCACTTCCCTTTCCCTCCACTTTCAGCCTTTAAGTGGGAGTATCTCTGTCATACTTTCCAGTGATTCTGCTGAGAAATACTTTATAAAAATATCTATTTTAGCTCTGACAATGGGCAAATGTGTCCACAACATAAACTTTCTGCTAGAAGTAAAAAGATAAATATCATTATGCATGATAAGTTTGGGGTTTGTTTTTATTTTTTTTTTTAGGGATTGGTAAAACCTTTAACAAGCTAAAGCACGGTTTACTTTTAGTAGCTGAACTGCTAGAACAAGAAAACACTGTTCAAGAGTGACTTGTCTCATACTAAAACAAACAAATCCCATTTCAGCAATACCAGCTCTGCAACCCATCGTTCATGATCTCTTTGTGTTAAGAGGAACAAATAAAGCTGATGCTGGAAAAGAGTTGGAAACACAAAAGGAGGTGGTAGTGTCAATGCTGCTGAGATTGATTCAGTACCATCAGGTAAGAGAGGAGGGGCAAAGTGTCCCTGTTTACGGTCTGTAAAAGGGTAACATTGCTTTGATTGCTAAAAATGCTTCAGGCAATATTAATGATTTTCTATAGAAACTTGAATAGTTGGACTCTGTATGTGATCTTTCCTTATAGAGAGAGTATGTCAAGATTTTCAGGGGTAGGGGAAAGGTTCTGCACTACAAATCAGTATTTCAAGTCAAGTAACATTTCTGTGGGATTTTATAGTCAAGCCTAGGTAACAAAGCACTGAAAAGCTCCAGTCAGGATCATGATCTTGGTTGTGTTGCAGATTGAATAAAGAGAAGGTTAGTAGAAGAGTTGTAATAAATTAGGATTCAAGAAACTTAAAAGAATGGGTGTAAAAGTGGAAAAGAGGACAGGATTAAAAGTAGGAAACATGCTGCATAGAGATGATTTAGGTATTGTTGTACAATAGCAATATCTTCAATAACATTTTAAAATACAAATTACTTGGATAAGGTAATGAAACTGGTAGTTAGACAGTTGTTAGCACTTACTACTTTGCCCCAGACCTCATGGATCTGGAAAACATGTTTCTGCCTTGTAGGAATATAAGAATGACTTTCTTCAATATACTTTGTTTAAAAGAAAAACATAAAAGTAATTTTAAGAGAAGTGACATAATTAACATGGGATCTTATTGCTTATTCAGGTGCTTAACAAACTTAATGTGCTTTTCCTTTCATCATGTGAAAATGCAATTCTAGTGTATGCTAATGTAAGCTATGTATTTTCTGAGAATAGTTGGGAAAAAAGTCAGTACATCTTGTCAAAATAATTTGTTAGAACTGCATGTTCAGATTGGGGTAATTTTGTGTATCCACATTTTCTTTTGAATTTGTAGTTTTATAATCATAAAATGACTAATACAACTATATGAAATGACACTCTGTAGACACATGATGTGAAATAGTGAATAACTTTGTGTTACATAAGGTACTGCAATTGCTAGCAGATCCCCTTCTGACACACTTAACCTATTAAAGACCACCCATGCACTGCTCTTCCCACACCATCCCATTTGTAGTTCTTCTTCTGTCCTGTTCTACTGATGCATAAACTAACCCCTGGGCAGTTCTGTTGTTCCCGGGCTGTGGCTGGGATGTTCTGCAGTGGTGTCCTTGTAATTTGAGAGGCTCCAAGAGCTGCAACCTTTAACTTTTTTCTGTTACAACTGTAGCTACCATCCATGGAGCTCCAGAGTTTAAGTCATTCAGGCCAGAATCGCTCCTATCTCCTCTCTCACGAGAAAGCTTTTTGGGAAGAAAGTAATCTGGTGATCTCTTTTTCTCTTCTCTTTTAATTGGCTGCGTTTCTGAATCTGAACTACTTGAATTTCTTTTACAAGTGCTTCTTCAGAAAACTGGTTCTCTGAACCGGATTCATCTGTCCCGCTTCCCAGTCCATATATTAACACTCTTGCTTGCTGTGTCTTTGGCCTATCTATCCTTGAAAGTGTGGTCTCTATAACCCTCAATCCGTTAACACATTCGGATACTAGAAGCGATACTTGCTGTTGGCGTGCTCCGTTATGTGCTCTCCTATAACCTGTTATATGAAAGTGACATACCTCAGGTGAATGAGCTCCATAAAAATGTCTGTTCTGTTTCCTTGACCAAATTTAAACTTTATTTGAACTAAAGAAAGAGTATACACGTGGGAAATTGCTCTCTTCCTTCCTCCCCTTTTCGTTGAGTATGCGATGTGGCATTTAGATTTACTATCTTTTTTCCAGTTGTTTAAATAATCTTTTGACAAATGCCATTTAAAAAGGACCAAGAAAGCATTTTTCTTCCTAGTTTATGAAAGTAACTGGAAAATTCTTTAAAAAAAAAAAAAGTCATAACTAAGAACAAACTTTTAACCTGAAAATGGGGTTTTAAAAATGTTGTGTGATTTCTTATGTGGTTTTTCTTTTTGCTTTTTGGCAGATGGATGAAACAGTAAATATTTTTCCCACTATGGTATTACTTAAATGTTTCCTATTAGTGTGGGTATTTACTCACATTCTTTTGGACTTTTCCTCAGGTGCTAGAAATGTTCATCTTAGTATTGCAACAGTGTCATAAAGAAAATGAAGACAAATGGAAAAGATTGTCCCGGCAAATAGCTGACATTATTCTCCCGATGCTTGCAAAACAGCAGGTTATTATATGAATTTTTTAATCTATAAACATTTAAAATAATTGTTACAATGTATGTATCAATAATGGCTTTGGGTATTGATTTTTTTTTTTATATGAAGACAGATTTTCTTGAAAGTGTGGTTGCCATATCTGAAAAAACAATTACTGCAAGGTAAACTAAGTCTTTGAAGTGATGAAGGTTATATTTAAATGCATGAAGTATGTGCAGTATCTTCGAGGCTGTTTCCAGAGGAAGCTCATTCTACTTCTGTTACATATATGATTATATCAGAGCACTTATTAAATGGTGTGAAGATTCTCCCACGTTTATAGAATGTCAAAATTATTTTTTCGTAACTACAGTGGGCCTAATTGCATTTTTCCTTAGTGAGGAGAATGAAGAGACATAGTCTGAAACCGTGCTAATAAATCACAGAATCGTGGAATAGTTGAGGTTGAAATGGACCTCTAGATACTGTCTTCCCCTCAACGTATGATCTACGGGAGTAGGTTGCTTAGGACCATGTCCAGTCAAGTTTTGACAGTCTCCAAGGGTGGAGCCTCTGTAACCTCTCTGGTCAACCTCTTCCAGTGTCTGAGCATCCTCACAGGTGGAAATCAAATAAATAAAAAAACCCTGTATTTAAACCTGTATTTAAATGGAATTTCCTGTATTTCAACTTGTGCCTATTGCCTTTCGTCCTGGTACTGGATACCACTGAAAAGATTCTGGCTCGCTGTTCTGCACTTGTGTCGTCTCCTCCTCCTGCTTCCCATGGTCAGATACTTGTACGCATTGATAAGGATTCCCCTGAGCCTTCTCCAGGCTGAACAATCTCAGCTGCCCCTTGTACGACAGATGCTCCAAGCCTGTAACCATCCGTGTGGCTTTCTGCTGGACTCCCTCCAGTGTGTGCATGTGTCTCTTACTGGACTGCACATTGGGGAAGGAGAATAGGCCCTTTGTATCTGGGAAGAAAGGAAGATTCCTTTTAGGAGAAAGATTTTTTTTTTTTTTTTTTTCTTTTTTCTCCTTTTTTTTTTCTTTTCAGTGCTGCTTCCTAAGCAACAGAGGACTTGTCTTCGACACAGCTTTCCTGGAATTACAAACACTTACTTCAAGGATAAAAAGTAAAACTGGTGAAATTGTGCCCTTGATGTTCTTTACTCCATGATGGCAGATGCCCACTTCCATGAGGAGATCTCATGGTTGAGGGGAGTGGGCAGTTATTGTGGATCAGACAGCAGGTTTTGAGCAAAGCTAAAATGCTGGCAAATTGAAATTGCCTTTGTTTCGTATGAATCTGTGCACGTGCTCAACTATCAAATTACTTAGGCAAGATAGGGTCATCCAGATTTTAAGTCCACTCCTTTGCTTTTTGCATTTGATTGTTTTATAATTTATCTAAAAAACTGATCAAGTAAGGTGTCCTACCTCTGTTGCTGCGGTTTAATACCATTGTAGCTGTTCACTTTTCTGATTATTAGGATTTTTTTTTTTTCTCCTGGTTACCTGCTTAAGTTTATTCATGACCAGCTTTACTCTCTATAAATAGCCTGGTAGGATGTGCAGGGAGGAGAAAAGTTTCTAAATTTTATGACAAGTCAGTCTTTTGGAATCATTCTGAATATGGCATTTTTCTCCTAATAAAATATATGTGGTATGTATATTGAATTTCATATGATAGATTTTTGTCTGTGTTCTCTAAACTCCTGTGTCGGAGGGCCTGCAATGAAACTTTAATTTATCTTTCATAGCTTTTGGTTACTCTAAATTTTGTACAGTAAAGGACAGCTTTATTTTACACAGGTTGTCATAGAAATGTTTAAAACATGAAATGGTAATTTTGTGTTGCAATTACCTTTAGTGGACAGTTACAAATTAGTTTTGTGGTTTTTCTGTTACAGATGCATATAGACTCTCATGATGCTCTGGGAGTATTGAACACTTTGTTTGAAATTTTGGCTCCTTCATCCCTTCGCCCTGTGGACATGCTTTTAAGGAGTATGTTTGTTACTCCTAAAACAATGGTAAGCAATTGTTTCCAGAGAAGAGAGAATCTGGTGTCTTCCATGCAAAACAAAAGAGCATGTGTTTCTCTTTCTTAATTTGCAATGTGGTGTTAAAGTACCTGCAGCAGATTTTAGGAAAGAATTGGTTAGAACTAATATGATTTACCAACTTGGAGCACTTTATACAGGAATGTTCTGCTTATGGATTACTTGCCTTCATTGTATATTTTGAGCATGAGGAATGTAGAGAAACATACCATTACAATAAATTCTAGAGTGCAATTTAGTAGGTAAATCCCATTTTTCTTATGCAAGTATTAGTACCGTTTTTATAGTTGAGAGATTCTGTAACAGAGTGAATATGAGCTTGACAGTTACCACAAGAATAGCATTTTGGAAGACTTGAATATAAAAGTTATTTCCTGCTTTCTCCATTCTCAAAAGGGTCTTATTTTATACAACAGTTAATGAAAATGTTAGGTTTTTTGAATACATTGCTATGTTGTGTTGTTTTAACTTCAAAGGTATTCAGTCTTCTGCATTTTTGTGTTTGTCTTAGGCATCAGTGAGCACTGTCCAGCTATGGATTTCTGGAATTTTAGCTATCCTTAGAGTTCTGATTTCACAGTCAACAGAAGACATCGTTCTATCCCGTATACAAGAGCTTTCTTTCTCACCATACTTGATTTCGTGTCAAGCAATTAACAGACTGAGACGTGGAGAAAGTAACTTATCCACACCAGAGGATCACACTGAGGTTAAACAGGCTAAATATCTGCCTGAGGAGACATTTTCTAGGTATGTTGTCTTTTGAATAACTTGAGGGAAAGATTAAGATTTCTGAGAAATCACATACATATTGTGCAATATATACATGGGTATAGAACTGTTATCTGGTAGGAATAAAGTCTGTTAATAAGTTGATATGGGAGGAGTGTGTGTGGAGGAAGGAATAATGAGATGGACAGTAGAGGGAAGAGAGCAGTTTGTAGTAGGGACTTTGGGCTGTTTTGATACCTCTTCTCAAGCCAAGTGAAGGACCTAATGGAGCTGTTAAAATGGGTGAATCCTGGACTTACTAAAATCTGGTCCAAAATCTGAACTGGTTAACCTTTGCCTTCCTCCCTGTGCAGGGACTGAAAGATGAGTCATCCCCTTAGAAGAAGGCCAGGTTCTGTACTAGAATCTTGGCAGCAGATGGATTCAAATCTATTGAGTTAGTCCTGCTCTTTATTTCATGTTTTTAAAGAGCTGGCTTGTCTAGTTAGCTTCCTATGCTGATGTTCTCAGAGTGTGACAAACTTCAGGCAAAAGAAGCATGGAGAGATGGTAATGGTATTATGTGACATAACGTTTGTCATTAAGGCATTATGTTTTAATGTGGTGGGAAGCATTTGAAATAGCTATTTGTTTAAGAAAATAAGACCTTTTTACTCAAGTATGGAACTTCAGATAGAAATAAAATGTTGTTTCTTATCATTCAGCTCACTGTGAGGATAATGGGTAGAGGGAAAAGGCGCTTCTGGACTCCCTTAATGTGACCATATGTCCAACACGAGTGAGTTGAGAAATGATTATGGCCAGGAGCAAGGATGGCTTTCCTCAAATGCCCTTTTTTGGTGTTTCTTTTGATCTTTTTTTTTTCCTCTGGCTAGAGGTTTGATACGGAACCTTTGTAGTAGAGTGTGGATAGATGAGGCTGTAAACAGCTGAATTATTGTGACTTGCTGAGTTACCCCTCCGCAGCTGAGCTGCGGTAACTGTCATGGTGGTTTTTTTAGCTCATTGCAAATCACTGTAAAGACACCATAGCATTTTGAATGTTTGCTGCATAAGTGAGGTGGGCTGGTGTATGCATGCTATCACGATTTTAGCTGATGAGTAGATAACTCAGATCTAATATGTAATTATTGAAGTGCTTGTGATCATCTCTCCATACCTATAGCATTATATTTGGTTTAGGTCAACCTGTTCTGTAGCATTTAATTTAACATCCTAATTAGAATGAATAGACAAGAACTTGATATTTTATTTTTCAGACTTACTTTCATGGGCAAACCTCCTCTTATTCTGAAAGATGTTGCATTGATAGTTTTTCTGTTGATTGTATACATGGTTTTTCAAGGTTCTTATTACAACTGGTTGGCATTCTACTGGAAGATATTGTTACCAAACAATTGAAAGTGGACATGAATGAGCAACAACATACTTTCTACTGCCAGGAGCTGGGCACTCTGCTTATGTGCTTAATACATATCTTCAAATCAGGTAATACTTTAAACACCACCTTGTGTTGTAGCATGCAGTGGCAGGGTGTTTTTTCAGTTCTGAGACAATTGTTGAATGCATTGAACTACTGAGAAGGAATATACAGGTACTGAAAACATTCTGTCCTACTTAGCATAAAGAACCTCCCAAACTTTGTGCTCATGCATGCGGGGCACATTTTTCATATTTCTTCTGTCTATGTGGAACAAAATGTAACTAGTGACTTTTCATCTCTCCTTTTAACTGTCTAAAAATTTCCAGTCAAAAAATGCAAAGCATTCCAAATTTGTAGCTGTATTTGTCATGGCTTTTCTCAATTTGGAGGTTGGTAGGTATGTCCAGGCTTAAAATACTGAGTTACAGACCACTGTAACTCAGACCACTGGTGTAGACTCATGATAAGGTAGGTTCCTGTTCTTTTGTCATAATTAATAAAAAACCATACACACACACACCCCGTCCCACCCCAAATCGAACAAACAACCAAAAACCAAAACCAGAAAAGTATGAAAGGTAGTACTGTTTCAGCTAGCTGGTCTAGAGCTCCTTTCTTCAGGTTTGGTAATTCTACCTTAGGTGTCTTCTGTTAGAGATCCAATCTCTGGCACTTTAATAATTCCTTAGTCCGTAGCCTGATTCCTTAGTCTTATTTTCCTAATAGTGGCGCTATCTTCCCTTTCTTTTATTCTTTTATTCTTCTTTAATATGACTGTCCTTTTTGCTTTCTGATTTTCACCCTGCAGCTGAAATCCAACCTTAGATTACAGTAGTTGGCTGCAATTTAAGAGGTCTTGGCATAAGTCCCTGGTTCTTTATAGACTTCCTTACAGATACGGGACAAGGAACTCTGCATTCCATGGTCTTATCTGTAAAATGGGAGTTACAGTACTTCACTACTTAGCAGATGTAAATAACAAAAAAAGTGCATACAGAATACTGTTAAACATTTAACATGATTCTGTGCTCCATTGTGTCCCAATAACCTCTATTTTTTTTTTCTTTTTAAGCTCTTCCTACAAAGTTCAGTTATAAAGTCCTTTCTTGAGAAAAAAACTTAGTTCCATTCCTGTCATTGCTACCAGCTGCTTCTTGAAAACATAAGTATTGTAGGTGTAGACTTAAAATAAGTAAATAAAGTGCTGATGGAAGTGTTCTGGGTCTTCAGCTGGTTCTCTGTCAAAGCTTCTGCATTGCCTTGATTTAACTTTCAGTAGCTTTACTCCTCCTAGTCTTCAGTGACATTACCAGATAGAAAAGTGAATGGGAAACCAATTGGATTATGTTGTGAGAGTTTGTGCAGCCATGGTGGATGATGTTTTGTCTTTTGTCAGAAGAGAGCTTTGGTTTAAGAAATCGAGTCCTCCAAACCTAGGTTCTTGCCGCAAAGACTCCAGGATTGTGAGTGAAGAGGCACAAAATATGGTGATAGTTACCGGAGCCTTCCTTCATCTTTGTTTTAAGCCTGCTTTAGGGCACAAGACTCTGGATGTACTGAGTGATAGTTCTCTTTTCCCATGTGTCTGTTAAAATAGTAACTAAAGTGTGTATACTGTTAATTGCTGTTATGGAAAAACATTTGAAACAAATAACTTAATGCCAAGGTGACTTGGAGTGATTAAATGGTGTCAAGCCGAGACCAATGAAATCAGAAAATCAAGCTGGTGATTGAAATCAGGGAAGTCGGTTCATCCACGGTGGGAGCTGGGGACGATGGAAAGGGAGGGCTCAGCTAGTTCTGCTACAGCGGCTGGCTTCCAATCTGTACTGTGAGTCTTGCCAGGAACTATGTAGAGATTTTCATGCAAAATTAAAAATAAATATTAAAATACTCATGCAGAGCACTGGGATATGTGTGTTGCATGATCTCTAGAAATGAATTTAATCTAAGACTACAAATCAACTCTAAGTACTAGTAGTAATGTGGTTACCTGATACGGTGTAACAGAATAGAAGGAAAGTCGTTCAGACACTTGGGCTGTATTTTCATGTTGTAGTGTTTTCTTTCAGGTTTAGGCTTAGGGTTAGCTAAGTGCCTTGTTTTGTAATACTTCTCTTTTGTTCAGTTAAAACCTCTAATTTTTTTTCTCTTTAAGTTATATTCTCCTAACTACAGGTGCAGCTTATAGTGACTTGTGTCTGGGAACATAGACTAAGGTCTTCTGTCATTTTTAACCACTATTCTACTTGGATGTTTTGTCTTCTCGCCCATTATAGTTTTTTCAAAATGTGTGTTGCTGACTCCTATGTATTCAACTATAGGAAACTACCAGATTAGAAATGAACATTTTCAGTGTACTACTTTGAAGTTAGTAGAAATAAAAGGCATAGACGAAGTGAAAAGATGAGCATGTAGTGGCTTTCATGACTGTAGAAAGTCACTAGATGGTGCAATTACTGCAAATGCAGGAAGCTGGGATGGGAATAGCACTGTAGTAAGTGGAACCCGAGTTTTGAGACTCAGTTATTTTTCCCATTCTTTGCTGTTTACATTGTGTATTTATCGGTCCTGGGGGCAGCTTAAACTGGTCCACATGGCTGTGGAATTTACAGCTTCATTCTTCTGTATATCTGGCAATGCAAGCGAGCAACACTACAGATCTCCTTCATTATTCTGATTAGCGTTTGGTTTCTAGCTGGTTCTGAAGAAACCCTTTTTTCCCTGATCTTATCTTCTCATAGAAACTCCAAGTCCTGTACCTTTAGATGACTTCAAGTTTGTCCTTTTTCCTTGTTTTCCCTCCCTTCGTTTTGGCAGATGAATACAAAATCAGGAAGTCAGAAAGCAAAATTCAGCTTTTGTGCCAAGTGTTCAGTATGCAGGGTAATGACTTTTCTCTACTTAAAAACATTTACTTTTTGCACTTTAGAAATTGGATGGAAGGGTATCAGTTTAGTTTTAACTAAATGTATTTGGGAAGCCCTCATCTGAAGTAGGAGACTTGTAAGCGATCTTCCTTAGTGCGTGGAATAGTAGTTACAGCATTGTTCTTAACTAGAACTTCTTTTTTCTACTTTATAAACAAAACAAAACCCCAAAAATCCTGGTCTACAATTAGCAATTTTAAATTTGGTAAGGTTTTCATGACAGAGAAAAAGTTGAGAAGATAGATTTCATTACAATTGTAGTCTGATCTAACGCATAACTTATTGAGTCTGGGAGCTGGTCATTACGAGTTTACGCACTGCCCTTGGGCAAACTCCATGACTTGCCTTACATTTGTAGAACCACTTAGGATACATCTTTCTTCCAGGAATGGTAGTGGCTATGAAAGAAGATGTGTATTCTCAGGGTACCCTGAATAATTTTAATACTTCAGAATTCAGACTAGAGCATAGTTACTCTAACATGCTTTTATTGTTTTCAGGGATGTTTAGAAGAATCACAGCTGCAGCCACCAGACTTTTTACAGGAGATGGATCTGATGGTAGTTTCTATACCCTTGAAAGTTTGAGTGACCTTGTTCAGTCCATGATTCCCACGCATCCTTCTTTAGTTCTCCTCTGGTGTCAAATCCTGCTTCTTGTCAATTATACCAACTACAACTGGTGGTCAGAAGTGCATCAAACCCCAAAGTAAGATTTGGTTTTGATCCCTAGTAGTAGTAGTAGTGTGTCTTATAATTATATTTACTAAAATTATATTTAAAAAATCTAGCTTTTTATCTGCTAAGCCTGTCAACCTGTTGAATAGTACTATTTGGATTCTGCAATATAGTTCTACATTTACTTTCCGTGTATACATATTGTCTGTTCTGATATCAGTATGTCTTTCAAACTAAGGAAGTGTGTCCTGTGCTCAGTTGTTCCTCAAAAGAACTGCCAGGTAATCTCTTCACTTTTAAGCCAAGAAAGCTTCATCTGTGTACTACATTTAATTAAAATTATGGAAATAACTATAACAAAATACTCAGTATTTCAGATGTTCCTATGGAGACTTCGTATTTCACTTCTAGCAAATAACCAGCCATGCAGATCATATACACCATTGTGTTTATGAAAACACAATCCGATCAGTATAACTGTAACTATAGTTGTTATCTGTTCTCAGTGGGTCTATTACTAAATGCTATCAAAACATAGTATCGGCACCATGCTGATTCATTAGCATCAAGCCACCATAGTAACTTAACATTAGTTGTCTGAAATGCAGAGATTTGGTCTAAAATTAGTGTTATCTTGGTCTGAAGTTAGTTCATGGATGAATCATGTCAGGCATTGGAATGATTCATACTCTGGGTGTAAGGAAGATAACCCCCTATGTGGGTGGGTATCCCTCTGTGTTAACTGTGGAGGGAGATTAACAACTGACTTGAGGCATTTCTGATGCTTGCGTAGCAAATGTTAGAGAAGACTGATCTTGCTCCACAACATGAGTGCATCAATACTTGCTTAAATGTGCGATTCTTGCCTCAGTTCAACCTCATGATGGGAAAAAATATTATTCTAATTTGAGGAAACATGAAACTACCAGGCTTATGAGCAAAGTAGGGCAACTAAGATAGCTAAGGTGACACCTGCTATTTGTTGCAGTTATCTTTTTTGATTTATCAATATCACTTCTACTTTTTTTCTGGGTTGGGCATCACTTTCGATCTGACACTAGACTAAGTGCTCAAGAACACTGGTTTGGCTTGAGAAGAAAATACAGAATTAGGTTCTGTTATCCTACCAGACATGCAGTAGCCCGTGTGTTTCTTTTAAATAACCTGTTTAGTTCTTCTGAAGTTCTTCAGACTGTCCAAGGAAGTAATAAGCACAGAACAAAAAAGTGATACCGCAATTGTTAGAAAGTAAAGAGCTGATGGAAAGCAAAGGGTCTACATTGTATAATGTTTGCGGAATGAAGTTTCTAGGAAAATAAATATTATGTAAGGACATTGGTAGGATATTCCAAGCGATTTGTTAATGTTTCAGTAGCCATAGTAATGAAATATAATATTAAAATAGTACAAAATATAATGTGCTTCTTGCAGGAGACACAGTCTTTCTACGACTAAATTGCTTAGCCCTCAGTTATCTGGAGATAGTGATGAATCGAATTCAGAATCTAAACGTGGCATGTGCAATCGAGAGATAGTGAGAAGAGGAGCACTCATTCTTTTTTGTGACTATGTTGTAAGTTTTGAATTATGAATTTTTAACTATAGTTTTGAGTTACTTTATTATGCTGACAATCTTTTCTTACTGATGTGCATTAATTCAATCTGAATCACAAGTGAAAAATAAGGACTTGTGAAAACTAGTCATTTTATTTTCAGGTGGTGCTTCTGTAAGCTTAGATATGACCTCATTTGGCTTTTTTTTTTTTTTTTATTCTGAACTGTGAATTCTCTTGGCTTGTAAGGGATACCTGGTGGGTAATAGAATTATTTGCTGGGTATCATGTCCCTTACTTGTGAGGTGCTAGGAGCACACTAAGTAGTGTTAGACTTCCCAATGTCAGTAGCAGCGCACAGTGTTCAGGAGACAATTTCTGTCTCTATATCTTAAGAGGAGGGGGTTTACATTAACATTTAACTTCCATTTTGGTTCTCTAATGACGGCAGCTCCTGTCGCTTTGGCCTATTGCTGCCTCAATATTAGCATTTTAGTTCATTGGGAACTTTCGAAGTGAATCTTCCCGTAATATCTAGTATTGCACTTTGGTTTGCATTGCAGAGCAGTTTTGGGGCAAGCAAACTGCATTCCTTTCAGATTCAACTAAACCAAAAGCTATGTTTAAGAAGCACTTCAAGTACTAATGGACGTTCAGTCACCAGAGTCAGATTAGAGGTAGTCCAAGGTAAAACCCTCCAAAACCTCTCTACTGGGGAGTGTCAGCCTCTCAGCATCACCTGGTTAGCTCTAAGGATCTTTTCATGTTGCATTGCACTGCTTGTTGATATACACATAGCCTCTGTAGGTTTAAAATTATTGACAGATCTCTTTGGATTTGCTTTCCAAAAATTGTTCATCTTGTGTTTAAGGCCAGTAGTAATAAGAAATATTTAAATAGAGGCCTAAATGAAAATCATGTTTTACAAGAAGAGTCTGTGTGTGCATGTTTATTTCAAACAGCATTTAATTAAAAGCGGCATCTTTGAATCAACCTTCTCAATTTACTTGTTTCTAACCTGGATTTTTAGTGTTTTTAAAAAAAAAAAAAATTTTAAAAATTCATTATAAATCTCTTAATTTGCAATAAGATCAAAAGCATTTGGAAAATTTGTCATGTAAAAATGATATTAAAATATAGACACTTTATGCCATTATTTTAAAAGAGCTACCAGAATTATGTATGAAAAACTTCATGTTGTGTCAGATAAAGTTTTTAGTAATTAAAAGCTTAACATGGCTATTAATGGAACTGGATTTTAATTTTTTCCCCTTTAGTGTCAAAACCTACATGATTCAGAACACTTGACCTGGCTTATTGTGAATCATGTTCAAGACTTGATTAATCTGTCCCATGAGCCTCCAGTACAAGACTTTATCAGTGCTATCCACAGGAATTCAGCAGCCAGTGGTCTCTTCATCCAGGCCATTCAATCACGGTGTGAAAATCTTGCAGCTGTGAGTTTAACTTTTTGACTTTTTTTAAAGAATAAAGTCACTTACGTTTCAGCATAAGTTTAACTGATAAGTATGCAAATTCTGACATTTCTGGGTCATTTATCAACTTTTAATTTTATTTTTAAAGTCACTTCTTTAAAATGCAAACAATGAACCTTCTATTAGCAACTTCAGTATCAGATGTGTTCCAATCCATCAAATCTGAATTCAAGTAGAGTTGGTTAAGCTGCTTTTCCTCCTTCCCGGGTATTACCCCTGCATAATAAATATCTGAAGGGTAAATTAAAGCTGTAACTTTCTGAAATCTGATTTCAGTACCTTGGTAGCATAAATAACAGTAACTACAGAGGCAGGAATAGGAACCAGTCCATCGTTATAGGCCCTAACAACATGAAAAAGATTTGCAAGCTCATGCCTTCCCCATTGATCTGCCCCATAAGTTGTAGCCTCTTGGTGAGGGAAATACTGCTTCAGAAATTCAGTGTATGATTTCTGTTGACTGTTTTAGTTTTCAAAATAAAAGGAGTGGATAATGTTTTATAGGGATGTAAGTTTGTATACATCCATCTTAATCTTGGGAACTCACTAGGTGGGAAATGTCATTTCCTGGGCTTCCTCTAGAGCTAATGGGGGAAGATGCTACTGCACCCTGATTAGCCTGGTAACATTTCCTGTCTCTTCACATTCTTCTCTGTGCAAATCTAGTGCAACTGCATTAGTGCTTTAGGCATGTGAATAAAACACTTCAAAGTTAGGTGAGATGAATCTGGCCTTTAGTGTCTGAGAATCAGTAGAACGAACTAAACGTGTTTGAATGGAAGAGGTAGTAATTCCTGTGAAATGTTTGGTGATTATCAGAAAAGTCACTAAAATTAAAATAGCTGATATTTACAGTCTGCTCTTAAACAAGATTGGTTCCATGAATCAAACTAGTTTGTCTTTGTGTTTCTTCCTTTAGATTACTGGTTCTGAATTGGTGCTCATATTTAAAAAAAAATTTAAAAAAAAAAAAAATTCTTTGCACTCCCTTTTAATCCTGAGTAGCCATCGCTGTTTCTATGATTAAACATGTGCTCAAAAAATCCCTAATGCTTATCTGGATTTCTGTACTATCTCTTATTTTGACTGTGCTCATGTTCCTACCTTCTTCCAGCAAGAGTTCAAGCTTCTCACTGTTTTCAAAGCTTTCTACGATTCCACGTATGTCTCTCCAGCTTTTTTCCTGAAAGTTTTGCTTCCTGCTTTTTTCTTACTCTTTGTGAGAGTAAGCTTTCACAGTTAAACATCAAACAACCTAGTGTCCATGTTAATTAAATAAGCCAGTTACTCAGACGTATTCATATATAGATGATTATATTGATCAGCTAGTTGTCTGCTATAGTTTTTTCTAAATGTCTTTCCCTCTAGCTTTAAGATCTTTGTATTCTAATTGATTGCTTTTTTGTCTGGTGTTTTTTTTGTTTTATTTCAAAATCTAGCCCACAACTCTGAAGAAAACTTTACAGTGCTTAGAGGGAATACATCTCAGCCAGTCTGGGGCTGTCTTAACATTATATGTTGATAAGCTTCTGTGTACTCCATTCCGTGTGCTTGCTCGCATGGTTGACACACTGGCTTGCCGTCGGGTAGAAATGCTTTTGGCTGCAACTTTACAGGTAAGGTTAAATATATTCATTTGTAAATAAGATTGGGTAGTGCTAGCAATATAATCAAGTGTAATGATTTAAAGTACATCAAAATATGATGATGTTTAAGTTATTTCATTGGAAAGGAATTTTTTTTGTTTAATATATAGATATATGAATGTTTACATTTCACTTTATCTGCCTATAATTTTCCTAATCTGTTCAAAGTACTCATTTTTGTCCTATAAAATTCTTGTGACTCTTTCCTATAGAACAGCATTACTCAGTTACCAGTTGAAGAACTGGATAGAATTCAGGAATACCTTCAAAACAGTGGATTAGCAACAAGGTAAATAATACCAATACGTATTAAAATGCCAGACTAAGTAATGTTCTAGTACTAATTGTGTTAACTCTGTTTTCCTATGTTAGATTCTTTTCTTAAAGATAAGATAGTGGGTCCTTTTTGGATGTAAAACAGGAGTAAAGCCTCTCTTATGAGATGCAGGTATATTCTGGCACAAGGACAGTTGTGCTGGATGACTTGAATTTGCAATGTACTTAAGAATTAAAGCAAGCTAAAGGCTCAAAGGCATCAAATTCTCTTTCCCACATCCCACTCGCTATTTAACTTTTGAGAGACAGCAACCGCAAATTAATTCCTTGACAAAAACTACATTACTGAAACCAACTTTATTTTCCTCAAACTTCTGCAGAATTTTGTGAGTCCAAGCTGGGTGGACTTTTTTCTGGGTGTTTTGTTTTTGTTTTTCCCCAGACAGCTGTGTTGAAAGTTTTAACTGTTTAGTCTCCCAGCTGTTTAAAAGTAAACTGCTACTATAGAAAGGAGAAAATTACTCAATTGTTGAAAAAGCTTTATTTAATCTTGGAAAGAGTCTAATTTACTCCTTTTGATGTCATTGCTGTTTGAGGTTAATATCTGTTGACTGAACTAAGCAAGAAGTAGGGGCAAAGAATCTAAAGCCCAAGACTGCAGTAAACAACAAACCAACCAAACAACAACAACAAAAAAAAGGAAAACCAAAAAAACCTCAAACAAACAAAAAAACCCAACTCCCTGACACTGACATAAATCTACAAATTGGAATTCTTAATACACTTTTTTTAAAAAGTTCAGTTTTAGTGGATTCTTGTTTGGTATCTGTTAGAATGTATTTGTCTGCAGTCAAATCATCTGTACACTAATTTTGATTCTTCTTACTCATTAAAAAGATAGACTGCATAAAGAAAACTGAATAGTTTGCATTTTATGCTTAAGCATGTATAAATTTTAAACCTAAATTAAATTTAAATCTTTATTGTTGGTGGTGCTGAGTTCATTTGTTTTGGCTACTGATAGCTGGTGAAATTTGCAGTTTTGCATCACATGACTGCATATATCCAACAAAGAACTTAAGATCCTATTGCTTTTCTCTCCCAGAATTAGAATTGGCTCACTGGATGTCTCTCTATTTTTAAATTATTGACAAAACTGCCTAAGTTAGCTCTCTACTGATGTGTTCTTCTATTTTCAGACACCAAAGACTTTACTCGCTCTTGGATAGGTTTCGTCTTATGGTAGCACCAGACACAACTAGTCCTTCACCACTGGTTACCTCACACCCACTAGATGGAGAAGACCAACCAGCTTTAGAGAATGTAATTCTAGACAAAGTAAGATTATGTTTCGAAAGAGTTACTGAAAGTGCCTTGGCTCTAAATAAACTTTAGCGCATTACAAAATATTTAAGTACAGCTTATTTTTACTATGCAGTTAGTGTTCTCAGTGAATTATTTCATATGTGTTGGCTGATTGTTGAACTTAGGATGAATAATTAGTATGTGCATACATGTTTGTTATGTTGACGGTGCTGTGAAAAACTATCAAGTTTTGTTTCTTTGCATAACTAACGGAAAGATTTATATGAGGCTCAGTAGAGACAGATATATACTGTTTTCTTGACGTGTTTACTGCAGTGATCAGTTTTATTCATTTCCTGAAAACTGTTGGTTGTTTCTTGGAAATTAAGCATTACTTCTCAGCTTCCACTTCTCAGCTTTAAATTACTTTCAGTGAACAAGCTTACTTAACTGTTTCTGTCTTTCATGTACTTATGTGTGTTTATTTCAAAGCGGGGTGGGAAGCTAAGAGCAAGCCTTTTGGGGCCTGTGTCTTTCTTTCTAGTTTGTCCTGTGGCACAGATAATTTCTCCTTCTCATTCCTTCGTGTTCTACAGTGATACAGTAATATGAAACGTGTAACTGAGATGGCAAAAATTATTTGATTAGCTGACAGTTTGGAGGAGACAAGTAGTCGAGGAACCCATTGACTTAGAGAGATTGAGAGCTACTTAGACAGCAGGAGGAAACACTGTTTGTGCCCAGAAACCATTTACCCATGGCTTTCTGTTTTCAAATTAACCAGAAAATCTCCTTCTTCCTCTGTAACTGTAAATCCTGCACAAAGGAAGTAGTTTTTATACGCTTCCTCCACAACCCCTACATAGTTCATAGAATCAAGTTGAAAGGGACCCATAAGGATCATAGAATCCAACTCCCTGCTCTTTGCAGGACTACCTAAAACTAAGCCATATGACTAAGAGCATCGTCCAGATGCTCCTTGAACTCTGACAGGCTTAGTCGCATTCTAATTAATATCAGCAAATTTGGGATGTCCAGTTATGAGAACGAAAACATAGAAAAGAGATAGATCTTCATATTCTTTAGTTAAGTTAGTTATATTATTAACTAATTCCTGTAGGCTCATCACTAATAATTTAAGGAGTAAATTTGCAGTGATGTGTGATGGTCTTCATTTATTTCAGTGAGTGTTAAGATAGATGTTGTCTTCATCTGCTGATTTATTTGAATCTGAAGACTTTTCCTATGTGGTTTATAGTATTGGGGTTTTTTGGTATTAATGTTATGTTTGTGTGACTACTGAGTATTCCAGGTTTTTTTTCTAGATATTCTTCTCAGCTTTAGGATCCTAATACATAGACCTGTGCTAAATGTTAAGCTTCTTTTTTCCTCATTTCCTGTCCAGACTGTATGGAAATAGACAACTTGCCAGTGAACATCCATTGGTCTATTTTAAAGATGGTCCATTCACCAGTTGTCTGTTTTGCCTTGCTTTTTTCTTTCCGTTTTTTTGACATTAATGTGGCCTAGTGATCTCTTAAATGGACCACAATTCAATGCCAATGAGCAATTCTTCCCTTGTCCCCATGAACTGTATTATTTTCTGAAAACAAATATGTAATAAATCTCTTTTTTTCAATTATTAAAGGACTGGTATGTGTCACTAGTGAGGTCGCAGTGTTGCATCAAGTCTGACTCAGCACTGCTAGAAGGTGCAGAGCTGGTAAATAGGATTCCTCAGCCTGACCTGAACTCCTTCATGACCAGCAAGGTAACTTCTTTGTCCGATGAAACAGTCAACTGAAGAGATTGTAATAAATTATTTCTAATGTTCTTATTGGTAGCATTAATAGATTAGAGTCTTAAATGTAAACACTTCAAATTTATGTAATACTGGTAGTTCAATTCTTGAATTTCACTTCATTTTGGAAACTAAAATAGATAAATTTCATTTCTGTATCTAGTAATGCTGCAGATAAGAGCTTTCTAGTATTGCAGGTTGGATGTATACAGTGGAAGTGAAGGTTAGTTTATGTATCGCAATCACAAAAATCCAATTTTACCACTTTACATAATCTTCTCATTTTGCCATACAGTCTCTTACAAGGCCAGATGTTTCTGTAACCTTTTAAATATTTGTGCTAGATTTCTTGTAATATGCCACTAACAGGCCACAGATAGTAAATCTGGCATAAAGGACAACTTGTATCTCTTATTTCCAAGTACTTTGTTTTCTAAGAACATATTTTGTTCAAATTCTCTACACTATGTTTGCTGCTGGTATGCAGAAATAATAGTGGGAAACTGTTTTTAAAAAGATTTTTGTTTGACTTACTTGTTTGAAAACTTACTATTTGAAGATTCCTTTTACATAGGTCATCCTTAAGCTTTATGCACATATTGTTCTGAAAATTTGGCATAAGCATATTGATTTTTCTTTCCAGTACAGTAGTGTTTGGAATTTAAATGTGGAACAAATATGGTCTTAATTATGGTATTGTTACACCGTCATAGAGTAGAGGTCATAATAAGTTAGTTAATTAATAAACTGTTAATTTACCACCATGTTAATATGCCAGAATAGTACCCTCAGATACTTAGCTTCTCTTTAAAAGCAATTTCTTTACTTTTTATTTACTATTTGATTTCAGGAATTCAACCTAAGCTTGTTAGCACCTTGTTTAAGCCTTGGCATGAATGAAATCTCAAGAGACCAGAAGAGTAGCTTCTTTGAAACAGCTCGGAGGGTAACTCTGGATCATATGTCTACCACTGTACAAAACCTTCCTGCCAACCACCAGGTTTTTCAACCACTATTGCCAACTGAGCCATCAGCCTACTGGAAAAAACTAAGCGATATATTTGGTAATAGAAATAATGGTCTTTTTAAGTTTATTCTCTCCTCTGCAAAGGTACTTTACAGATGTCTTGTGAATACATGAACTTACTATTTAAAAAAATCAAGATACCTGGCGTGAAAGCGCTTATGAAATAATTCTGAAAAACATTTATAGAGGGGAAAAAATTCAAACTGCTAGATTTCATCCAGTCTTATTTTATAGGAGATGAGGTGATGTATCAGTCTCTGATGACACTTTGTCGTGCACTGGCTCAGTATTTGTTGTTACTCTCAAAACTACCAGCCGGTCTCCGTGTTCCTCCTGACAAAGAGGATGATATCCTGAAATTCGTAGTTATGTCAGTAGAGGTAAGAAATTACAAGCATAATTAAAACTGTGATGAGATGTTGGGAGAGGGAGCAACTTTGACTTAAATTGATCACCATTGAGTAACTTTTGATCTGGGCAACTTTCTTAACTGTAGAAATTTCTTCAGTGGTTATTTTATTTGACCTGTGCTAGTAAATCAGATGGGCTTATGGGACAAGGGCAGCTTTTACAAGGAGAGGTTGACTGGATCATGGAATGATCTTGGCATTTGGGAGAATGGCCCTGCACTGATTTTTGGGACACTGAATAGACAGTATATAATGGTCATAATTTTCTTGTACTTAAATTCTGTTCTCTCAGGAAAAAAATCAATACAACTTGCTAATAAAACTTACATATTGCTGAGTGAAAAAAAAAAAAAAAACCTAACACTTTTGGTTATAAGTTCTTCTGTTGCGAGAATTTGTTATTAATGGGGAATTTTTATTTTTGCACAGGCACTATCATGGCATTTAATGCATGACCAGATTCCATTAAGTGTAGATCTTCAAGCTGCTCTGGATTGTTGTTGTCTGACATTACAGCAGCCTAGTCTCTGGAATTTGCTGGCTTCTGCAGCTAATGTGACATACGCTTGCTCCTTAATTAATTGCATTAGATTTATCATAGAAGCAGGTAAGTCCAATTTGAACAGCTATGAGAAAATTTTCTTGATAAATTGTCACTCATCACTGATCAAATGCTAGGTGTCTGGAATATTTCCTCTGAGTACTTTTTAATTATTTCTTCGGCAAATTTGTTTTTACTACTTTAATATCTCATTTAAAATTTTGTGTTTACTTTTGAACTTGGCGGATGCCTTGGAGATGTTAAATATTTGACTACTATGTGGTTTTGAGGAGAAAAATGGAATATGAGATATTTAATGGCTATATCTTTCAAATATTTATGTCTAATTCAGTTGCTGTTGAACCCGGTAATCAACTTCTTAGTCCTGAAAGAAAGAAGAATGCTTCAAAAGGCTTAAGTGAGGGTGAAGTTGATTCAAACACACAGAGTAAGTAAAAACGGTGAATTCCACTTTTGCCTTAAACTTTCACTGAAGAAATATTTGTAGGTCCCCTTTTCACTACTGTTTTTTTTTTTTAACAATGAGAGTTCATCTGAGACCTTATTTGTATTTGATAAATGTTTATTAAGTGTAGATTGACATATTTTTAACAGGTATAGTTGTTTTTTCTTGAAAGTTAAACACTAATGCAGATTTGGCGGCGGGGGGGGCATTCTGTTATCTGTGCAGCATGCTGCAGACTGAGCTTTTTAAAGTGTTGTGGGATTTTTAAATTTCATGTGGGAGAGGTAGAATTGTTAATATTTCTTCTGAAGAATGGCAGATTCATTATCTGCCCGTCTACAGTATGGGAGCACTATGTTGAGGTGAAGGTCAAGTGTAGTCCGTGAGTGTGGACGGCATTGTCTTCCATATCCAGCTGTGCTGGTACAGTAAGATACCACTTCCATCTACAGAAATTACCTGCTTGTCAGATTTAGCATAGAGTCAGCTATGAGACTGTTTTCTCATAAAACAGATGAATTTGGTCACTTAAATTCTCACAAATGCTCTATTCAGTGTGTCCCGTTCTTGCTGGGGTTAGCATGTGAGCTGCTCTGCTGACAGATATCGGGTACTGGTAATCTCCAGCACTGAGACTGACAAACAACGCAAGCCTTTGCAGGGAGGGTGGTAGTAGTACTCTCCAACTAGCTGAAATATTGGAGAATATTTCTTTGTATACATCCTTATTGTGGTTTTGTCCTTTTTAGTCAACATACTCTTTCAGTAAGTGTTTTTTGGTTTTTTGTATCTTTTTAAATTATGTGTCTTTTGAATAGATTCCTAAAACTGAATTTCTTTTTCTCCCAACAAAGAAACTAAACACATTACTGCAGCTTGTGAAATGGTAGCTGAGATGGTGGAATGCTTACAGACTGTCTTGGCACTGGGGCACAAAAGAAACAGCAGTATCCCAGCATTTCTTACTCCTGTCCTCAAGAACATCATCATCAGTTTAGCAAGGCTGCCTCTAGTGAACAGTTACACAAGAGTACCTCCCTTGGTATGTTCATTATGCTTTGTTTTCAGGACTTTAAAAGCTATTGAACAACTTTCTGAAAACCAAACATGGTCCTGCATCTTAAGTTTTACATCAGTAGGACTTCAGCCTTTAGCTAGTTTAATCAGCCAGTTTGTCTTTTTAAACACTGAGTAGAAAACATTGTAAAGATATCAAATAAGAGTTCACTTTGGAATCAGATTTGATTAGAAAGGAGTGTAGTCGCTTCTTACATTCTTATGTGAAAGAATGTCCGGGTGGTAGTTAAAGAAAGGAAAAGCAAGCAGTGACTTGGGTGCTTTGTTAGGGCTAATATTTCCTTCTGCTCAGTGGGATTGCTTACCCTGGAAAGAGGGCAAAATCTACACTGCTACTTTCTGCTACTTTCTTTATGACACCTGAATTGACAAATTCATTTTTTGTCATGCTAAGCACCACAACGATGCAATGGTGCTGAGATGTCTGAAGTAGTGTCTGAACTAAGTCAGGTATTTTATGTGTGGTACCATACCATGGTATGCCATGCAGATACTTCGGGATTGTATATCACCATTCTTTCCTAATTCATCTTGGATCTTTTGGACAAGGTATTTCAACCTTTTCTTTTTGGCTGATGTAACATGGATTTAAGAACAACTCATGATTACCTCCATGTATTGTTAGTACTGTGAAATGACTTTGTTTTGATAAACTTCAACCATTACCAGAAACATTTCTAGGTGCTTATTAGGTAGCGCAAAAGGGGGTTTCCTGATATGTGCAAGGCCATTTCTGTGGCCTTTCTGTTTCTCAGCACTCTGTTTTTGAGGGAGTGTCAAAAGATACTGATTTTTTTGATTGAGACTTTTTTGCCCACTTTCAGCTGTATCTTTGTGCTTTTTCAGGCATCAATAGTATGTGAACTATTTTCCCTGAATTAACTTTTAGCGTCATTTCTGCACAATCTAGAAGTCACCTGGCACTTAAATTCTAAAATGAAATATATGGCAGGAACTTACTTGCTTTCATATCCAAACTTGGACAGTAGGACTGAATAATTAATTCATAGTGAGTAATATGCAAAAAACCCCCCAAAATTAGAAATACAATGTAAAATGTATATTAGCTGTGTTAGATACTTAATCTTTCTCTAAGTTCTTTTGTATTTGGAAAATTACATTATTTACTGATGTCTCATTGCTTTTGAATGGTGCAGATATATTTATAGGTGTGATGTTAATACTATTTCTGTTTTGGATAAGCAGACTTTCTTTATATTTCTTCAGGTCTGGAAATTAGGCTGGTCACCAAAGCCTGCAGGTGACTTTGGCACAGTTTTTCCTGAAATACCAGTAGAATTTCTTCAAGAAAAAGAAATCTTTAAGGAGTTCATCTATCGCATTAATACACTTGGTATGTACAAAATTAAAAATTAATACAGTTGGCTGTTATTAGGTATTTACCTGTGTTGTGAAGTTACTGAATAACTGAATCTGGTACCATTTGTTTACTTTTGCTGCTTATGTGGAAGAGAAATAACATTTCAGAGCAGGTTAGTAATTGTGCTGCAATAATTCTTACGTTTTGCTCAGTGCAGAGAAAAAATTATAAACTATAGAAATAAAGCCAAAAACTATTCCAAAAACTATTCCAACTCAGGGAGGCGATTTCAGAATGGCCACTTGTTTTCTGGAACATACACCTGACAGTATGTTAGAGAATATTTTGCTTCCCCCTTTTTTTTTTTATTCATGCATAGTGTATAGATAGAATTTAGTGTCACACTCTCAATATTTTAAATGAGATGCTGTCATTTTAAAGCTTCTGGATATGTCAAGGTTTACTGAACGAGAGCAGTGGGGCTTAAGAGTTCAAGTCTTTGTCAACAGATGAGACTGTCAAGGGTAATGCATCAAATTTTCCATATGCTTACGGAAGTTCTTTGGTTTTGGGGGAGGTTTCCCCCCTCTGATCTATGGGTTAATATTTTACTGACTTGTGGTGTAGCACTGATTTCTGTTTGATCACTGTAATACCAAAGATGACATTGTCATTTTTGATTCTTGAGATATCATTAGTATAAACTGCAAGGTATTAATCCTCTGCAGTCTTTATAAGTAAAAATTGGTTTGGAAAACTTTTTGAGAGTTGCTTGAATTTTAATGGTCTATTTCTAGGCAATTCAGTCATTTTGCTTTTAGGGCATGAAGATTTCTTGGATCATTATGGGATTCTCCATGACTTACTTTCTTGTGAGAATTGGCCAATTTCCTGGATGATTTTCTGTGTTGTGAAAACCTGGTAGATCTCACTGCTTTGAAAGTTGGACAATCAAAATATTTAAATGTATATAAGAAACAACCCGAACAGGACCATTTAAATAATAATGTGCAGAACCTTCTAAAGGGTTCATCACTTCCTAAAATAGAACAATTTAAGTTTAAGCTGTAGCGATTACAAAAAATGCCAAATCAAATAGGAAACGGTACGAAACTAAATCTATGGAAACAATGTACCATTTTTTAATGCCGTTCCATGTTTAAGTTTGTATTAAGACAAAAATGGCTATCTCTGAGTGTTTCCATAGGATGGATCAGCCGTACTCAGTTTGAAGAGACTTGGGCTACTTTGCTTGGTGTGCTTGTAACTCAGCCTATTGTAATGGACCAAGAGGAGAACCAACAAGAGGTAATGTCATTCACTGAATTTTTTAAATTAAATTTTACTTGAGCTTAGAAAAATATTTCTATTAATAAACCTGTAAAGCAGAACAGTAGTGACGAAGACTAAGAAATTATTTCTGTTTTATATTTCCTTGTCTTCATATCCCTGTGAGTTCAGACACAGCCATCTTCTGGCTTAAAGCTTCTGCAAGCGTGTAAATAGTATCAAAAAATTTTAGTGAAGCTGTTTCAACTTTATATTAGTACGTCACTCAACACACACACAGTTCAAAGTTTGCTTGATTAGGTGTTTGGCTTTAGGCACAATAGGAACTCCAGAAACTTTGAGAGAAACAATGTGTGAGAGAACTCTGCCTTTAGGAAATATACTAGTTACCTGTAACTAATATATTACTGCAATTATCTGTGCTATCTAATAATCAAACTTCAAGGGGAGTTTGGTAAGATTTTTTAATAAGATTCTTGACTAGAAATGAATTGACCTGGAGATGCATGCCCATGTTTCTTGTTCCCAGTTGTAGACTGTTTATTGGATATCTCGACTTCTAACTTGGATGCCTCAGGTTCAAAATTCAGTGGAGGGCATTTGGGGATCAGAGCTGAAGAAATTTATCTATACCAAAAGCAAAGATGAGAGTGAACTTAGCTATCATGAAAGAGACTTTTCCTCTTCAGACGTCTTGATCTGCTAGTGAACTGACTTTACTAGGTTCTCTTTGACCTGAAATGTTTTTTTTCCTAGACTTATATAGTGTTTGCTCCCAAATTGCGAACAGTCCTCATGGTACATGCAGAGCCTAAAGCATTTTGAAGAATTTGGAGGGTAGATGCCTACGAATAGTGGATCCTGGGTAGCAGACAAAGGGGTTTGTTTCCCTTGCTTTCTAGGTGTCAGACTCCAAAAAGGAATAGAGCATCATTATCCCTCTTCCCTGGGTTAGCATTTTCTGTTATTTAGACTGACTTGGACACTTGTGCAGCCTGCAGAATTTTGGCTTAACTCTTTTCTACATAATGGCCATGTTGGATTAGACTTAAGGTGACCTAGCTGTTGGTAGTTCCTTATTTGTCACATAGAAAGCGTTTATTTGTACAACGGGAGTAATACTGTTCCTTTACTTTCCAAGGAAAACTAATATGTTCAAAATTGCAAACACTATAAGCACTATTATAAATTCTAGTATGTTACTATTTTCTGAAATAAAAATACAAGATTCTTTTTTTAAAAAACAGCTGAAAATTTGTTAACATCTTACATTTTCTAAAAACGTTCAGACTCTCTTGTGTCCGATACTTTCAAGAAGGAATCGGAATCTATACAATGAAAGCAAAAACTGAGAAGCATCCTGCCGCTTCAGAATCTGCAAGTGTTTTTGCTGTTGTTCTAATTTTAGTTTGTAAAAACCTGATTTAGTCAAGTACTGATGATAAACAGTTCTGAGCAAAAAAAGTTAAATGTACTGTGAAGATTCTTGCTACCATCAACACAGGGAGGATGAGTTACAACACACAGTGCTAGAAGTTTATTTTGAGATTTTATTTTTTTAAATGGAAAGAGACTACTACAGTGGTGATTACTTACATGGCAAAGTACTTGATGGAATGTGTGTAGTTCCAAACACTTCTATTGGGGAAAAATGGCAGTGCCTCAAGTATGAATAATAGATTGAATCTAACCAAATATTTTAAGCAAGTTGTGTTACAGTTTTCTCACACTTTTACAGTGATGCTAAATATTTAGTGTGTAGCATCTTGGTTTAGAAGAAACATTGGATGCATCTGGATAATGCTGCCCAGAAAAATGCTGCTGAAAGTTCATGATGAGGTTGATTTTTTTTTTTTCCTAAACGGGCAGTTACTAAAAACAGTTAACATGGATCCTTCTCTGAAGAGTTTCCAACTCAGATTTAGTCTTATTTGATGCTTTGTTTCAACAGATAACTAATGGGTAGATGCAAACAAAGAAACTAAACACTTTGAACCTTCCGAAATGGACATCTTGAGGTTTTAATGCTGTTGGGATAAGAGAGGGTGCATGCAGAATGGCTAATGAGATGGAAGGATGTGTTGCTGCTATAGTCACAGTGCTTTGTGTGCATTGCTTATGTCAGCTAGATTTCTGGATGGGAATGAGTCTAGATGTAAGGCTTATTAATGGTAATTTAGTGGATAAACTGATGTTCAGGGCTGTCAGGATTCTTTTTTTTACAATTCAAATTACAGTAAGTTTGTTTTACAGGAAGATACAGAGAGGACCCAAATTAATGTTCTTGCAGTACAAGCCATAACTTCCTTGGTGCTGAGTGCAATGACAATACCTGTTGCAGGCAATCCAGCAGTTAGCTGTTTGGAACAGCAGCCCCGCAACAAAGCTTTAAAAGCTCTGGACACAAGGTATTCTTTTACTTTCTCTAAAATGCGTAAAAGTTACACTTGTGATTAGTACATAATTACAATTGCTTAATCTAGCTGTAGCAAAAATATGTATAGACTGTATTTTCTAAGCAAGAATGTATACAGATGAATCAGTTTACATAGAAGTTATGGACTTAGCATCACGAACCTGCTGAGTTAAGAGACAGTATCTGAAAAAGACAGTATCTTATTAAAATCTAGTAAACAGTGTGCAGAATGTATTTCTCAACACTTCCGTTTTAGCATCCCTGATAATGAAAATAAGCATAGACACATAACATTGTAGAGTAAGCTAGTCAGACTTGCACAAACACGTTAAAGGGAAAATCTGCTTAAATTGATTTCTGTTGGGCTTTCAGGTTTGGGAGGAAGCTAAGTGTTATCAGGGGAATTGTTGAACAGGAAATCCAAGCAATGGTATCTAAGAGAGATAATATTGCTACTCATCACTTATACCAAGCTTGGGACCCTGTTCCATCACTTTCTCCTGCTACTACAGGTAAGTGCCGGGGGAGGGGGGCAGGGGAGAAGCGGGGGGTGAATTTCTTTTACATTTAAAAAATAAAGATAGTCTTAGGAATTTATTTGAAATCCAGTTTGCAGGAAATGAACACATTTTCACATCTACTTTGTTATGCATGTTTTAAAAACTTGTCTTCTATTTTGTTATAGGTGCTCTTATCAGCCATGAGAAACTCTTACTGCAGATCAATACTGAACGAGAAATAGGAGATATGGATTATAAACTGGGACAGGTTTGTTAAAACCTTAACTTTGAATTTGACTTTTACTACATTTCTTCCAGTTTGTGAAAATTCAGTTAAGAGGCATTGCTTAAGGTCAGATGTAAACTAAAAGCTCCAGATGATGCAGGGTAGATCATAACTGGGTGACTCCTCTCAGCCAGCTGTCCCACCTCTTGTGGAATTGTTGCTTGTGTATGTGACATCTACCCATGAGCCAGCTTGTACTTTTCAGCCTTGTGTGTTAAAGAGCCCTTGTAGTGTTAGCTTCCACTTTAACTATTGGATTTTAATTTGCTATTGCATGCTTGCAGTAGTCCTTAGGAAATGAAAAATCACTGGAGATAAAATAAGCAATGTTGTTTAATTTTAAATAAACCTAGTGTAGGGACATAAACTTCACTGGATGATGTTAGTTGGAAAATTAGCACTACATACAGTGAATAAAATAGTCCTTATCCAGTTATTTGTCTCCTTGAAAAATTAGTCTTTACATAGTTAATACAAGTTTTAAATGTAATATTTGTTTCACTGTTTGAATAGTATGTATTAGTGAAAAAAACTTAAATACTAAAGTCAGATGACATTATTTTTCTTGAGGAGTCTTTTGCATAGGGAAAACTAAATGATCACTTGTCTGTTTTAGGTGTCTGTATGTTCTCTTGAGATTCTAAATGGCTTGAACAATCAGTATTTGCAGGTTTACAGACCCTATGCGTTATTTACAAAAACTGTTAACTCTATAACAATACTAGGCATTAGATGTGCTGCTTGAAAAATAAATGGTGTATATTTTTGCTTAACATGAAAAAGAATTCTATGTAAGGGTGAATTTTTGTTTAAGAAAGAAGTCTTGAGCTATGTAAGATAAGTAACTTTAGAGGAAAAAGTAATACCTGTATTGAAACACAGGAAGTGCTGATTTTGTTTTGGAATCTTCAGACAGATCATTTATGAAATGCTGTCAGCAGGTCTTATTGTTCTGCAACTTTAATTTTGTAAATAAAACTTAAAGAAGAACTAAGAAGTTTTCTTTTTTGTAGATCATTTGTTTATCTAGCCTGAGTCAGAGAACTTGAAATCTTAGTCTTGTCTGGTTTCAGAAGAAAGGTTATATTGCCATCAGACAGTGCTGAGTTATGGTTTGAGAAGAATTAGGAATGTGTTTTCTATGAAGTGCAGTCATTACAGTTCTTTCTGAATTATTTTCTTGCTTGATATGAATTGTAAATATTTATACTTTGCTTTAGATTTTAGATCTGGTATGTTGACTTTGGGATGATGCATGCACATTGTTAGTGCGTGCTTACAGGTTAGCCAGATGCTGCTTTCAGCATCACCTGTATTGCTGTACTAAGCACATGGTGCTACTGGTTTTGCGGTGCCACACAGTTTAAAGTCAGTTAAAGTAAAATGTTGAAAAAAGTTAAAAAAAAAAAAAGGCAATATGCAGTTCATGTAAAAGTTATTTGAGGCTGTGTGTTCCCTGTCATTTAAATGAAAAAATGTATTGGGCTTCTAAGATTTTTCTAATCTGACTACAAGGGTGTTAAATGTTGTGCTTCTTTTCTATTTGTTTTTTTTTGTTGTTTGTTTGTTTTGTGGTTTTGTTTTTGTTTTTTTGTCTTGCAAGGTCTCTATACACTCCATATGGTTAGGAAATAATATCACTCCATTGAGAGAAGAAGAGTGGGGTGAGGATGAAGAAGATGAGAATGACATACCTGCTCCTTCCTCACCACCAACCTCTCCTATTAACACCAGGTGTCTTATTTTTTCTTGTCTCTCCTTTGACTTATCAATAAGCTTTTATCCCTTCATGTTGAGTTCAATAAGCTGGGTTTATAAATTGGATGCTGGTAAATAACTGTATTATTTCAAATTAAGTATTTTAGCAGGGCTTAAGAATAGCCATTTTAACACTTGCTTATTGTGCCTTGCAGGAAACACCGGGCTGGTGTAGATATACATTCTTGTTCTCAGTTCTTGCTTGAACTGTATAGCCAGTGGATATTGCCATCAAACCCTAGCAAGAGAACGCCAGTCATTTTGATTAGCGAAGTGGTGCGATCAGTAAGTCTAAACTATTATTCAGAGCCATAATTGAGTATATGTTACCAAATGTTTCAGAGCTAAGCAGCATTTGTAAAGCATCTTTTAATATATGGGAAACACTGATTTTTCTTGGCAGTGCTATTATACAGGCAGTACAGAAATACAACTTGAGCAACTATAACATTATACTGATTTAAACTATATAATCATCTGGATTGCATATTCTGCTACTACATTACAAACACTTTATTGTTATTTAATGATAGTCGGTATTTTACTTGACTACTCACTAAAAGTAAATTTTAGGATTTTACTTATCCTATCCTATTAGAGGATTAAATTGACTATTGAAGTGTAGAAGCAAAACTAAAAAACACAGGTGTGGAATGTGTCTTGATAGCCTTATTCACTATTGTAAAAGACTTAAAATGAAACTATCCTTGCAAGACAGTATGTATTGTGTGTTTTGGGGTGTTTTAGTACACTGTAAATGGCAGTGTTCATTCATTTTTCAGAATTACTTACTATAGTGGATTTGGTTTTGTAAACCTTTTGGAAAAAAGGACCACTTGGAAGTAACTGTTATCTAAGATGGATGGTGGAATTAATTCTGGACAACAGTAGTTATTGCAGACACTTGAGTTAATGTTTACACATTTAATAGATCAATCGAGGAATCTTTTGCTGACAATTATAACAGAAGGGAGAGTCGATTTTTGGCTGTCTGCTAATGGGCTTTTTTATATTCAATTTTAATTTGTGTACAGCTTCTGGCAGTATCAGACTTATTTACAGAAAGGAATCAGTTTGAGATGATGTATACAACATTGACAGAACTTCGAAAGGTGCATCCATCGGAAGATGAGATTCTTGTACAATATTTGATACCAGCCACTTGTAAAGCTGCTGCTGTTCTTGGAATGGTAAGAAATTCTTATGGAAGTTTATTGCAAATTCAGGAGTGTCTAGGTTAACTGATCCTTAGCTTCTGCAGCAAAATCTGATGTACTTGGTAAGAGTGGTTTGTCTCTAAGAAAATCCCTTAGCTGATCTGCATGGCTATAAGAAGTAATAGGATATGTATTCTGGGCTTTCAGAGGTTGCAAACATCATCTTCCGTTGCCCCATATTCAAACAGAAAGGTTGTTTGGTTTGGAGTTTTTTTGAGGTTTGAGCTTAATATAATGTGCTTTTTGGTTTATCTTATTCAGTTGAGTGTTACCTTTGCCCTGGACTCATTTGTTACATTTCAGGCCAGAAGTGAGGACTGTGGAACAGCTATTGCTAGATTTGTGTTACAGGTGAATGGCTGTAGTCTCATGAGAGGCTGGAACAGTGCATGTGATGAATACACAGCTTGATAGTCAGGAGTCCCTCACTCTTCCCTCCATTGCATCATTCTGCACTTGGGGAAAGAACATTATTAATGCAAGTTATTTAATGAAATGTGTTGCTGTCTTTAAATCTGCAGACCAGAGAGCAGTAGTATTTTCCAATGGACATTTCAGAGTGGGATTATTTAGGGAAAAATTTACAAATTATTTTGGAATAAGTTAGCATTTCTAGAAACTCTCTATGAGACGAATATAAAACTATATGGGTAATAGTTATATGGAAAGTTTTGAAAGACTTTGGGGTAGGGCTTCCAGTAATTATTGTAGCAGCAGCTGTGCAAGGGAAGGCTGTGAAAGTGATGCCAAACATGCAGAAGCAGTTTTAGAGATCAGCTTGTTCTGACTAGGCTGTAATTTCCCACTCAATGAACTAATAACACCTTCTCATGAGCAAACAGCTGAATATAACAGGTTAGTGGGAGGGGAAAAAAAGTTGATTCCATCAAGAGTTGCTTGTTGTCCTGTGCTCAGTTATGTAGAAAACCCGCTTAAAAAGAGCAACTAGAGAGCACACACTGTAAAACTGGCCTGTATCTTAGATACTTAATGAATACAGGGACAAGATAAAACAAATCATTTCTACTAAATACTTAAAATAGATTGTAAGAAAAAGACTTTTCAAATCTAACAGTTTAGAGTAGATTTTGCATATTCCCATAAGTTGTACTTTGATAACAGGGAGTGAAGTATCTGATACCTGCTTGATGTTTGAAGACTAAACATAGAATCATTTAGGTTGGACAAGACCCTTAAGATCATTGAGTCCAGCCATTAACCT